AGCTCAACAGCTGGTAACACACTTGATAATGAAATCAACAGTATTTAGAAACAAATTGGATTAAATTCGTAAGTGAATAAATCATGCTTTTACATTTAATATAAAATGTGTTAAAAAAAATTTTACTTGCATGCCAAATTCTATTACTCTAGAACATTAACAAAAAACAAAACCCAGATTCCAGATGGCTGTGTCTCCGTCCTCCTTCCCCCACGGTGGTGATCATGAGCTTGCCCCATCCCCACCCTGGGTGTCACTGTGTCCCTGGGCAAAGGCTCTGGATTCCAAGCCTTCCCGGCACACACTGATGTGGCACTGAATATGGGGCTCTGACACGCTGCCATGACTTCCTTATGGACTTCCGGGAGATGCAGGCCTGACCCACCAAGGCCACACCATCCCCCCACAACACCGACCCTCTGGGCCTCCTCACTGGTGCAGGGCCTGAGCCACACTTCTGCTCCACATAAGCCTCCATCAGTGGCCATGGCAGCTGTGACAGTGATGCAGAAATAAATGCCCCCCTCCCCAAATCTAAATGCAGAGGGGAACAGGGACCCAGACTGACTGCCAACCCCCACCTCCCAGGTATGCTGGTGCCAAGGCAGAGGACACAAAAGGCAGGCTGCCCACCCCTCCGCCCCTGGAACTGTCTTCAGTCCCCAACTCCTCAGATGCCCCTTAGCCCAGGCTAGTTTTAGGGGCACACTTGACACCTTGGACAGGGCCAGAGGAACTGGTTGAAGGAAAGGGGCCACCATCCACTGGCTGGGAAAACCACATGGAGAGGAAAGCAATGATTCGAAGACTTCAATCACAGATCCATCCATCCATCCGGAGCCACCAAGCCCCATGCTGGTCTGTCCTGTCCTTTCCCCTGATATTTGACCCATTTCCAAGCTACACAGGTTCCTTCCCCGCCAAAAGGGCCTTGACTCTGTTCCCTTCTCTTCCTTGCGGCACCTACCTGTTCACACGCCCGTCTAGGGTGGGAGCGCACCTTCTCTCTCCCCACTAACAGTCACGAAACGTTGACTGCTTGCCAGGCGCAGCTCGGAGACGGGAGGGACACAGCGGTAAACAAACCGCAAGCCCTGGCTCGCTCAGCGCCGGGTTTTACTCCGACAGTCTCCTGCCTGGTCCTGGGCCTCTAACCCTCAGCTTCCTGCCTTTGCCAGAACGCTCTGACAGTGCAGGATGAAGCCTTGGCGCCGTTATGTTGCACAAGTTCTCTGTTCCTCCAAACGCTAAACTCCACCTTCCTAGCCCCGGTTTCTTCCAGGAAGCCTTCGCACCTTTTGTTCCCTCTGCTGGGCATGCCCTTCTACTGCAGGCCTCAGCGGCAGGGTCAGCTCCTCGGAGGCGCTTTCCCTTCTGCACACTGTCTTCCACCCTGCCTTCTGCAGCCCGCTTGTTCTGGCTGCAGTACTACCTGCCTTGTCCTCCCGGTACAATTCCGCCGGCACAGAATCTGCGACTGCAGGATCACCCCTCACGCCATGCGCGGTAATTGCACAGAACCCATCCCCGCAACTGCCCTGCTCGCGAAGCCGCCTGTGCCCTACGGGTGCCCACGGCCAGCCGCCAAAGCGTGCAGCGCCTGCGCACACTTCCTCCAACCCCTCCGCCAGGCCGCCCGGGACCCTCCACGAAGCGGCGGGGTCCGGGGCCCAGCGACCCGAGACGCCGCCTGGCCCGCAGCGCGCCCGGTGCGCACGCGCACGGAGAGGGGCAGGCCCGCAGCCGCCTTAACCCGCTCCGCGCTAGCCAGTGAACTGTCCGCACGAAGCAGCCCTCCCAGCCCCAGATAGCTCCCACCTTGACGGCCCCACGAAGCCTGCAGCCCGCCCAGGGAAGCCCCGGTGGACCCTCCAGAGTAAGCGCCCAGTCGCCTCTCTTCCCAAACAGGCCTTGGCCCTTTAACACTCTCGCTCGCGCCCATTGGCCGAGGCGCTCGACGTCATCGCTGGGCGCCGGACGACCGCGCCTTCCCGCTCCCTAATCCTGACGCCAGAGCCGCGCCGCCCTCTGAGGCTGAGAAGAGCGGGAGGAGGTCGCGGCGGCGGGAAGATGTAAGTAGGGGGAATCCGACCCCATCCGAGCTTTGGGGCCCTCCCGCCAGGTTCGGCGGGGCGCATCGTGGAGCCGGCCCGCTCCCTGGCCACGCGGTGGTGACGGCAGGGCCTGTGGCGTCGCTCCGGGTTTGAGAAGAAAGAGTGTGGCCCGGGGCGGGCTGAGTGGGAGGCGCCGAAGCCGCGGCCCGGAAGTGGTCGGGGCCGCGGCGGGCGGAAGGGCGCCCTCGTTTCCTCGGCTCTGCAGCGGGACCAGTGAGGCCCGCGGGATTCGGAGCGGCCGGGAACTCGGCTTCCGCCGTCCGGGCTCTCTCACCGGGTTGGAGACCCAGGCCCGCAACGCCGGGCCCTGCCCTGGAAGCGCCCGCGGCCCGGCTCCTGGACTGGGGAGTTGTGAGTGAACGCGGACGCGGGGCGCCGAGGTCGCGTGCGGGGCCGGGGCCGGTGGGTACGAGATGCTTTTTGGGATGCCCTGGTTGACCGACTTACCCTCCCTTTGAAGCCATTAATTTCAAACATCGACTCCACGAACCTCTGCGGGGTTCCTGTGTGCCGTTCCCGGTGCTAGCCCCTGGGGTTACGGCCCCTAATGTCTTGGAGCCCAGTTTGACGGGTAACCCCAAAAGAGAGAATACAGGAAGGTTAAAATCGACGGAGCAGAGGCGTGGCCTTTTCCAATCTCGCATGAATTGTGCCTGAAATGTACTTTTAAATGGAGAAGGTGCTCCTAAGATGTGAGCTGAAACGCCATCTACTCGAGATATAACTAATTGTTTTCTCCTATTTTTGGCTGTTGGACGCGCACCTTTCCAGAGGATGGGGGAGGTAACCACAGTCCTGTCACCTGAACTTATGTGAACAGAATCAACCTTTGCTTTCTAGCCCTCTGGCCACACCCAGAAAAGCCTTCCCTTACTGTGTTCTTAATTGAGTTTTAAGAGTAAACGGTGGTGCTTGTTTTCACAAAGAGCAGATCTTTAGGACTGGGGTGGGGCCCTAGAATATGTATTCTAGGTCAGCTGTGTAATAAGGTAGCCTCTGGCCACACGTGGCTACTGAGTACTTGGAATGTACCTAATTGAAATTGATGTGTCTAAAAAGCTTGACATGGGGAAGCATGGATATTTTATTAATCATTTTGTATGCTGATTGGTGAAAAGATTATGTTTGCGGTGTAGTGTGTCAGATAAATACATTACTCAAAGTTATTCATCTGTTAACTAATGCTTTTTTGCAACGTAATTCCAAGAAAATTTTAGAGTACTCTTGTAGCTGGCTCTCTTTCTATTGGACAATACTACTCTTGGTGATCGTAATGGGGGCAGTCCAGGGACGCCTGCTGATCACTCAGAGGTTGTGTGACTTCAGAGCCAAGAGTTTGTCTCAGAGAAGAGCCTCCAAAGCCTTTCTCCTAACATTAGCTAACATTTGTTGAGCCTTAACTAGATCCCCAAGACTCTTTTAATGGCTAATTTGGTTTATATTCTTGACAGCTATGAAGCTTAGGAACTCTGTCTCTCCTTAATGCGGATGAGAAATTGAGGCTCAGAATGATTAAGGGATTGATACAAAGACATAACAAAGCTTTGAATCAAACCCAAACAGGGGGACTTCAGACTCTTTAAGCACTGAATTATACTCACTGATTGTCCAAGCAAGCACACTAACTGTAAACAGTTTGCCTACTGAGTGTCTGTAGTGCCTTATTTATTATTATTTTTTTAATTTTGGCTCTTTTGTGTGTGTGTGCCCTCTCATTTTGAGACATAATGTCTAAAAAGACTTCATAGCCCTGGAAAAGAACAGCACAGGTAATACTCTGTTTTGCACTCTCATTTGCTTGTCCACAGCTGGGCACTCTTTCTTGAGTCAGAATGTTTATCCAGCATTTTGGCAGCACTGCACACATGGAAACAGGATCCTGATTGGTGGGCTGTGTCCAGGTTACTTACAGGAAGGTGAGATAGGAGTAGTTGAAGCTAACATCCTGAGATCTTTGCTTCTGCAACTCAAGCAAATTACACAAAACCTTACTGGAAATACTTAAAGGCAACAGCCCCAGGAAACAGAGCGCATAATGAATTAATAATTTGTTCTTGCGTAGTATTACTGATAACGTTTTATTGAGTACATGCTCCAGCCCTGGAACTTAGCTAAACCCTTACATGTGGTGACTGCATCCATTTCCAAAAATGTGAGCATACAGAAAAGTTGAAAAAAATATAGTGCACCGAATAGTCACAGAATCACTACCTAGATTCTACAGGTTACATTTCTGTTGTGTTTTGTCTCACTTTACTATTTTTTAAATGTTCATGGGGGACGTTTCATTTGTTTGGTTATTAAATGTTTTGATGCTGGTACCAGTCACTTGAAATGGTTTTTGCTTCCAGTCATAATATCTATCCAATGTATCCTGCAAAGATTCCAGCAGTGAAGAGAGGTCGAATCCTGTCACTTAGGGTTTGGTCTGCTCTGCCTGCCCGTGTGCTCCTGTAGTGTCTAAAGGACTGTAGAGGGCTCACCGTCAAACTGGTGAGAAATGGGCATTGTGCTACCTGTCAAAGGACAGGACACCACCACCCACACCACTGCTTAAGAAAAAGACAAGCCGAGCTGACCACTTCTTCCTGAGTGCCTCCTGTGGGGGCGGGATCCCCTGAGGAAATGGCCCAGCCCGGGTGTTCCTGGCTTGATAGATAATCGCTGCTGACTGTGTTCCTTGTTGCCTGCTCCTATGCTCAGCTTTTGACTGCAAAGTAGATTTGTTGCCTTGCCAATTTACTCTGAATCCTTTTATCTTGTTATTAGGCTGCACTTTGGCGTAAATTGCAATCGATTAGGGATCGTTTCTCAGACTCAAGTTAGACGTGAGAGTTCAGATAAGTGAGGCCGCCATTGCTGCTTTGAACACCTCAGAAGGGGAGAATGGATTTATCAGGAGTGAAAAAGAAGAGCTTGCTAGGAGTCAAAGAAAATAATAAAAAGTCCAGCACTAGGTAATCCTTCTGTCAGATTTTTCTAGTGCTACTTTCGGGGTGCTTGTTGCTAGGGACCCTCAGAAAGGGGGACATTGGAAATATCTTGAATTTTACAGTGAAAGTGTCCTAAGCCACAGACCATTTTGCTCTGTGGTGGTCTGGGGTTTCTGCCGCCCTTTGCATCCCCTTTTGGGTTGTGCTGTGGTTTCAGGGTTCAGCCCAAGGGGCATGTCGTCTCACACTCTCCCTCACTGTCCAGGGCGCCTTCTCCCACCAAACGCAAAGACCGCTCTGATGAGAAGTCCAAGGACCGCTCTAAAGATAAAGGGGCCACCAAGGAGTCGAGTGAGAAGGATCGCGGCAGGGATAAGACTCGGAAGAGGCGCAGCGCTTCCAGCGGGAGCAGCAGCACCAGGTGGGACTAGCGGGTCAGGGCCTTGCCAGGGCCACAGCCCTCTTCCTTCTTAAAGAGCCTGCAGAGTGTTCTGTCTTTTTATTGATAAAGAAAGGACTCCGATGACTAATTTATGGCAGACTGGTTTGGGCTTTGCTCTGATCATACAGAGGACGGTGTTGGTTGTGGTTTTTTTTTTTTTTTTTTTTGGAGGCGTTAGGAATGCAACATCTTGGGTTATGCTTTTCTCTTGCATGATTTTGATTTGGAGTTGTGGTTGGATCACCCTAGCCTGGCTTGTTTCTTTTCCTTCTGTTGAAAACCAGCCTGTGTCAGTCAGTAGCTGCCTTCCAAGCTGAGCCGGGGCTCTGACTTGCCAGACTGCTCCTTTTCCTCCCAGTAGGCAAGGCTTCTGTGTAGGTAGGAAGCAGTCCTGTCACTGCACGGTACAAATGCTGTTTCTGTCCCTGCAAGGAGTTTGTTAGGACAGGGCTGGAGGGTGTCCGTGGGTGCTGGGGAAAGCCATGAGGCTTGAGAATATGAGCCCAGCAGTTCCTCTTGTCTGGAGTGAGGAAGCACTGCTTCCGCCCGTGACCCCTCTCTCTTTCGCCCCTCAGGTCCCGGTCCAGCTCTACCTCCAGCTCAGGCTCTAGCACCAGCACGGGCTCCAGCAGTGGCTCCAGCTCGTCTTCAGCTTCTAGCCGCTCCGGAAGTTCTAGCACGTCACGCAGCTCCAGCTCCAGCAGCTCCTCCGGCTCCCCGAGTCCTTCTCGGCGCAGACACGACAACAGGCGGCGTTCCCGCTCAAAGTGAGCCCCTTTCCAGCCCCCCTTCTCCACCGGGGACTGGTCGGTTTGGGGGATCGCCTCCAAAACTCAAGTTATCTGGGACCTAAATTTACAGACTGGGGCTATAAGGTTACCATAGTTATTACCAAAGTAGACCAAAAAAGGAGTTTCACTGTCTTGATAGGATTTTTTATTTTTCAATTAGGTCCAAGCCACCGAAGAGAGATGAGAAGGAAAGGAAGAGGCGGAGCCCTTCCCCGAAACCCACCAAAGTGCACATCGGGCGGCTTACCAGGAATGTGACCAAGGTGAGGTGTCCTGCTCTGTCCAGTGGACACTGGGGTAATTCTTGCAGATGTTTAAAATGGAAAATGAGAAGCCCACCTCTGCCAGAAGGTAAACGTAAAATGCAGCATTTCTGAGGGCTGAGTTGGTGGCATGTGACCGAGTAGAGCACTGGTTACTTGATTTTAACGGAATATATTTTGCGTGTATGCTGAGAGGGTGGTCATTGTGTGGTGAGTTCTCTGACTTTTACACAAGTGATGGGAGGGTGAGCCTAAGTGACCCTTCTTCCTCCCTAGGATCACATCATGGAGATATTCTCCACCTATGGGAAAATTAAAATGATTGACATGCCTGTAGAAAGGATGCACCCCCATTTGTCTAAAGGCTACGCCTATGTGGAGTTTGAGAATCCAGACGAGGCTGAGAAGGCGCTGAAGCACATGGACGGAGGTAAGTCCAGCCCTGCTCTGACCTGTCCCAGACCAGCTGCCCACCATACCTGGTGTGATGAGAGCTAATTTCCAGTCTGGCTGCAAGTGAGAATTTCCTTGGAGCTCTGTCAAGATTCCAGTTCTTACTCAGTGGGTGTGTGTTTACCAAAAACATGTTTTACAGAGCATTATTCTTGAAAAAGTATTCATCAAATATGAATATATTAGCATTTTAAGAATATTTCAATCTGTTAAAACTTAAGGATCAAATGAAGGATTTTTTTTTTCTTCACAAAGTATTTGACTATAATGAAACATCATTTTTATATGGGAATATTTTCTTAATCCTCCCTGAGTTACTTTCTGTTTTGCTAAAACGGCATTTTTAGGATAACTTTCTGAATCCACAGATTTTACCTCTTTCCTAAAATGCATCTTAACTGTTGACGGCATTTACAGCCACTTTGTATTGGCTTTGACAACCTTTGAAGGACTGTGAACATTTGTCAGTCATTTTGCATCTTGAATAGGCAGCACTTTAAGGAGTGTGGGTTTTGCTGGGCCCGCTTGCTGCTGCTGTCCTCCAGGCAGCGGAGCTGAGCCAGAACTGCCCGAGCCCCATGTGGGTTGCCAGGCTGAGTGGGGAGAAGAGTCTGAACCCCTGAGAACCTTGGCATCCTTGGAGGCCCTCTTACATGTTTGAAAGATAATTGCCCTTGAGCCCTGGTAGTTCGTATAGTACAAAATTTTCCTTGGTACTTAGGTACTAAATCTTCCAATCTGCTTAAACCCCCCTGGAGTGTTTTTAGGAGTTCAGTATAACCTGGGATCCGTCACTCTGCAGGCATCAGCTCTTAACTTTGTGAGTCATGCCTTTGTTTTAGAGAGTGTCAGTCTTGTGTTTGATGGAGTCTGAGCACTTGCTAAAAATTTAGGAGGCTTAGGACACATTCAGGATGTGTGTGATGATAAGTATTCCACCTTGTCTTAAGATTCTGGTAGGACTTTTTCTTTGTCTTGTATTGTGCTGAATGGAACCGCTCAGTCTCCAGAAAGAAATGGAAGTGCTTGGTTTTTACTGGCAGCTAGCTAGAGGATGGGAGAAGGCAATGACAACCCACTCCAGTGCTCTTGCCTGGAAAATCACATGGACGGAGGAGCCTGGTAGGCTGCAGTCCATGGGGTCACAATGATACGAGTGAGCAACTTCACTTTCATGCATTGGAGAAGGAAATGGCAACCCACTCCAGTGTTCTTGCCTGGAGAATCCCAGGGATGGCGGAGCCTGGTGGGCTGCCGTCTGTGGGGTCGCACAGAGTTGGATACAACTGAAGCAACTTAGCAGCAGCAGGTAGAGGATGACTTTTCTCCTTTTTTTTCCCTTTTTTTTTTTTTTTTTTTCTTTCTTGTTACATAGTCAGTGCCCATACTATACCTAACCAGGACTAGCTTTTGGCCATGGGCCAGGGCCACCTTAGGCTGTATTTACTTAGGCCTTTCAACTATGTTCTGAACATAGGTGCAAATCTTGGATTTGTACTGATAGAGTCAGTACCTCAGAAGTTCTCTTGAAAGCAGAAGCTGAGAAGGTAGAAGAGCCTGTCACCCACCCTTTGGGAACACACTGGCTGTGCTTGGTCCCCTGGGATTGTTGGGTCTCTGCCTCAGATTCCTTCATTCTCTCCCTGAGACCCTGCAGGTTCCTCATGCCCCATTCTGAGCTGCCTCCCCTCGAAGTTCTGCAGTTTCATTCACTTGTGTGGCTTTAGTACTGGCTGCACACAGACTCGCCCCCCTGAGGCACTTGTTGCAAACTTTCTTTAGACAGACTTGAAGTGTCCTGAACATCATGTCCTTTGTTCCCTACCCCAGAAATAGTTCCTTCTTTGTCTGATGCAACCCTTCCCCCCTCCCCTCCACCCCCAAATCACAGCTCATCCAGACACCTGGTGCCAATCATCTTTCACCTGACCCTGGGTCAGGCTCCTGGGATTGTCCTTGCTGTCATCCCCTGAGTTCTTATATTTCACCCCATCTCTGTCCTGCTGAAGCCCCGACTGTCTCCTCTCTCCTCTCTTCTGCCCCCTTCCATTTGCTTTCAAGTAGGACGTTCAGGTGCAGCACCCGCTTCCAGCTCAGGGTGGGGGCACAGCCCTTCCCTTCACTTAGCAAGTTCGTGCCTGTTCTTTAGGTGCTGACTTGAATGGGCTTCCCCAGCAGGCTATCCCAACACACCAAGATGGAGTCCTCAGTTAGGGTCCTGCCCCCGGTGGGTCTCCTGATGAAACCTCCAGTGATAGCGATTATAAGCCGCTTTTTCTCTGTGACCAGAATGGGTTGTCCTTGTTCCCTCCAGGCTCCTTTCTGTCTCGCCCACCAGGGTAGGTGCTTGTTAGATAGGTATTTTGTGACTTTATCCTTTTTTCAATAGGACAAATCGATGGCCAGGAGATCACTGCCACTGCTGTGCTGGCGCCCTGGCCCCGGCCACCCCCCCGGAGATTCAGCCCTCCCAGGAGGATGCTGCCACCTCCTCCTATGTGGCGCAGGTCACCCCCACGGATGAGGAGAAGGTGGGTCACTCTGGGGTTTCATAGGGAGCTTTATTGACAAAACAAAGTGAGGGGGCAATGACTTTGGGACCTTGTCCAGCCCCGCCTGCCCCCTGATGGGGGTGGGAAAGCAGCATTGGCACAGATGGCTTTGGAGGTCCTTCCAGCCGGGGAAGGGAAGAGCTGCCAATTGAGGGACCCACAGAAGTGCAGCTGCTGCCCGCCCTCTGTGAGAAGACCGGAAGGGTCAGAGGAGTAGGGAACAGCCTTGGCAGAGGCCAGGGTTGAGCCATGCCTCCTCTTCTAGTGCTGGCCAGCTGCACTGCACGGCCCTTGGAGACAAAATCCTTAGTCTCCGGAACGTTTCCGTCTTCCCCAGGGCTTCTGTTGGTGCCACCCAGAGGGATCCAGCTGTGTGACTGGCAAGTTAGAGCCACACCGCTCTGTGTGAAGGCGGCTACACCCCAGTGGTCATAGGCTTGGGTTTCCCGTCTGACACCGTGCCTCCTCTCCCCGCAGGTCGCGCTCCCCGCGCCGTCGGTCGCCCGCGCGCCGTCGCTCCCGCTCTCCAGGCCGCCGCCGCCACCGCAGCCGCTCCAGCTCCAACTCCTCCAGATAGGCGGGGCTCGGAGCTCTGCCCCTGCGACTCCCTCCCACCGCTCTTGTCCATTTCCAGGGGGTCACAGGGAGGAAATCCCTCCCTCGGGGCAGGCTTCAAGGTGGAGGCAGCGATCAGTCTCCCGATCAGTCTCCCCAGGCGGCGGGGTTCCAGTGGCAGGAGTGTTGTGGGTCTGGGGTCGTGCTTGTAAAGATGCCCTCCAGTTTTCTAGCTAGAGCGACTCCACGTTTCTAGTTCCTGAGAGTTAGCGGCAGAGCCAGCAGGGGTGAGCACGGGGCTTCTGGTGCGGGGACAGCCCCAGCCTGGGGGCCCATCTTCCCATTCCACAGATGACCGGGGCCGGGCTAGGGCTTCCCGCAGGAAAGGCGTGCTTTTAGGCAACTGCTGCTCCTGCTAGCCTGGCCCAGCTGGAGTCCTCTTCTAACCTCTAGGGTCAAATACCACCCCCACCACCACCATCTGCCCAGAATGGTTCTTTACGCATGTAGTCATGTGCAAGGACACACACACACAGACCCCTCTTTCTGAAATCGTTGAGAGCCAGCTCTGCCAGGTCATCACAGAACCCCACCCCCACCCCAACTCCACTGTGTTGGTATTCTTGGTGGTCTTGCTGGTTACCTTGGCAGCGTGTACATTGCTTTTTCAGCTTTTATTGTACAGTCAGTACTATAAATTTTGTTTTGATTTTTGTAACTTTGTAGCATTTTAGATGATGTTGTGTTTGTACTTTGTTGTGTAGAGTAAAAGAATTGTGTTGAATAAACCTAGGATTAGAGTGCAGTGTGTGCCGGGTTCACTGCCTCCTTCCTGTCCTTGCCCCCCAAGGCTGCTTCAGTTGTGAGGGATTAAACACAATTGCCTAAAATAAATGTTTGGTTTCATTTCCAAAGTCGTAGCTGCAAAACACTTTAACCAGGAAAACTTTGAAAATGTTTATCTTAGTTCCCTGGCCAGGATCCTGCCTCCTGCCTTGGGAGCACAGTCTTAACCACTGGACCACCAGGGGAGTTACCAACTGTGTGTTCAGGAGCCTTGAATTCTGCCCGACCAAAAAGGTGGATCTGATTCCCTGCTGTGTTAGATGGCCATGGAAAAACTTACCACCTCAAAAATGAGTGTGTTCCAGAAGGAAGAACGCTTACGACATTATAATCCCTTGGCCCTTACTGTGTCTAGCGTTTTCAAACCGAATGCCAGCACAGTGTGTGTTCAGCAGGACTGAGGGCAAAGGGAAGCTGTCGCCTCCCCCTCCCCCAGGAGGAGCCCCGGTGGAGTGAGCAGCCTCTTGAGAAGGTGAACGGTCAGTTCTCTCACCAGGCTGTGTCCCAGGCTAAGCTGCAAGTCTGGTTCCTCGCCGGCAGGAAGTGGCGCTCGAGCGCCCATGCTCTGCGGGGTGGCCGGAGACAGGTCCGCGCAGCCCCTGGCCGCCGCTGAGCGCAAACCCCTGGCTCCGTGACTTACGTGCAGTCCAATCCGCGGGGCCCAGATGACCTGCTCCGCGGAGCCCGACGCTCCGCCCGGGAGGAGCGGCCCGGGCCCCAGGGGCGGGGCGGGTGGCAAGATCACACCCGGCGTCGAGACCTGCCCATTCTCGGACAAGATGGCGCTGGCTTCGGGAGTGCGCGTTCCTGCGCGCGCCCTGCTCCGTCCGTGTGGGTGACCGGCGCGGGGCGCGGGGCGCGGGGCGCGGGGCGCGGGGCGCGGGGCGCGCGGGCTAACCGATCTCACGCTGACCTCCGCAGGGGCGCTGCTCTGGGGCACGACCCTTGGGCGCAGAGAGCCGGCGGCCGGCGGCGGCGGCGGGGACGGCGAGCGGCGCTTCGGGAGCCAGCGGGTGCTGGTGGAGCCGGACGCGGCCGCAGGTAAGCGCCCCCGAGAGCCCGGCATCCCGGCGGTGGGGAACGGGGCGCCGCCGGCAGCAGAGCGGGCTCCGTGGTGGCCTCCGGCTCCGGACCCAGACCTAGAATCCGGACCCTGGAAAGCGCTCGAATTTCTAAAGATCCCGAGATAAAGCCTGATTTTGAAGTAAGTTTCTGTTGAGTTCAAAGCTAAGGGTCATCACCAGTCGAGTTGTTTCACCACGACCACCACCACCCCCCACCCCTCCACCCAGTTCATTATGAAGATAAACATGTTTCTGTTTTTAAAGTTTGGGGTATGTGCTCCTTATATAAGCTATTAACTTGGGAAGTGAAAATAATTGGAAGCATCTTGGAATAACATTTTTAACTTTTTGTTAATACTCCCAGGTGGCACAGAACCCAGCAGATTTTTTTTTTTTTTTAATTACAGCCAGGAGCCACAAGTAAAATCACTCCTACCCACCCCCATCAGAACACCTCTTAAAAGTCTCCAAGGGGGGTAAAAAAGGTAGAAAGAGCACTTTTGAAAGAGAAAGCTGTGCTTTCTCCACCTGAGATCCCTTCACAGCTAGTACCTGAGCTGACTTGGGGGCAGAGACAGACAGATTCACATTTTAGGACAAGCTGTCTCACGGCCTCCCAGCTCCGAGCCTCCTAAACATTCTGGCTTATCCAGGTAAGAGGTTGAGTTTGAGGTCAAAGCCAAGCATGGTTCTGTCTTCATTGCCAGACCCAGGTGGCCTTCAGGCATCTTGAGACTCAGAGGGATTAACGGAGTAAGAGTGCTTTATAAAATGTTTTCATTTAAGTGCCAAAGTGCTATCATGTTGATGTATGGCAGAAACCAACACAATATTGTAGAGCAATTATCCTCCAATTAAAAATAATTTTTTTAAAAAAAGCTGATTTTAGATCCTGTTCAACATTCAAGAAACATTTATTTTGTACCCACCCCATGCCAGGGGTATGATTATTTACCTGGTGATGTCCAAGCCCATCTGTTCACCTTTGGCCTCTACCTTTCCCCCAAATGCTTAGATATTGTCTCACTAAACAGCAAAGATCCAGAGTCAGCTTCAGAAACTTGCCTCCGAACCACATTTGGGGAGCTCAGCTCTGAAAGTTCTGATTGATTCTTCTCTGTAGGATGACATTTCTGAAGCCCCTAGGGTCTGCCCTTGAGCCAGGAAGTGGGAACAGATGGCCTCAGCCAAGCCAGCAGCCTCACTGTCTACAGGGGCAGGCCCTTCACTCCCGTTTTTCCTGCTGCTGGCAGAATGAATGTATAAACTGAGAGTTTTAAGAACATCCGGCCCCTGATATTCCTACCCTTGATCCTTACACAAGTGTGAACCAGAACCCCCCACTGGAATTCCTCCTCGCACATCTAGTTCTTAGAGTTGCTCACTTAACAATAAGGCCTTCTGCTCCAAGGAGGATGTCAGACTTGGTATCTGGGAGAAAATTGGACTGATATCCTCATGAGCTCTTCCTTTGTTTTGAACATTGATTTATTTGGAGCGGAGGCATTGTGAGGGAAAAAAATGTGTCATGTAGGTTGTCTAAAAGTAAAATGCATTTAAACTCAAAAAAAAAAAAAAAAAAAGATCAACAGAAATGTGTATGTGAGTGCTCCCAGCATCATTACTCTAAATAGCCAAAAGGTGGAACTAACTCAAGTGTCTACTGGTCGGTGAATGGATAAGCAGAACGTGCTGTACACAGATTGTGGAAAGTTATTTGACCTTAAGAAGGAATGAAGCACTGACACATGTTACTTCGTGGATGAACCTTGGAAACATTCAGTGAAAGCATACAGACACAAAAGGTCACATATTTTCTATGATTCTGCTTACATAAAATGTCCACAGTTGGCAAGTCCATAGGAACAAGAAGGAGATCAGTGATTAGTGATCCCTGGGTCAGGAAGATCCCTGGAGGAGGGTATGGCAACCCACTCCAGTGTTCTTGCCTGGAGAACCCTATGGACAGAGGAGCCTGGTGGGCTTTGGTCCGTAGGGTCTCAAAGAGTCGGACACCACTGAAGTGACTTAGTACACACGCACAGGGCCTGGAACAGGAGGAATGGTAACTGCCGATATGTACAGGGTTCCCTTTATCATAAGATACATGAATCTCACCTCAGTTTAAAAAACCCAACAGTTGTGTCTTCCCATGGCCTTCCCGTAGGTGACTGGGGGCACCTTTCTCATGCTGGTACGAGCTTTGTCCTCTTTGTTTTCAAACTAGGGGTAGCCGTGATGAAGTTCAGGAATCCCCCCGTGAACTCCCTCAGCCTGGAGCTGCTGACGGAGCTGGTCATCAGCCTGGAGAAGCTGGAGAACGACAAGACCTTCCGTGGCGTCATCCTAACTTCCGTGAGTGCTCCTAAGCTCCTCCCAAGGCCCCGAGCTCAGAAAGCCCTCCACACACATCACAGGCTGGAGAAAACCCAGGCGGCACAAGTGCAGGTGCAATCACAGGCCTTCAGGCGTCATAGTCCTGGGTGTGACTCGAGGGAGCCAGGCTGTGGGCAGCTGGTTCGCCCACAGGCAGCTGATGCCTCTGTCCCAGGCCGCCTCCCAGACCCATGCAGTTGTGGGGCCAGGCCCTGGGGCAGGCCTCAGTGCTCCATACCCAGGCCTGGATATAGGTAAGAGTAGGTTCCTTTGGGCAGGGATGACCTTGAAACCACGCAACTTCACGAAATCTGGACCCAGTGCAGACTTGGTTTTCAGCAGTTTCCTGGAGCCCAGGGTGGCCCCCAAGACTGTGCTCGTTTCAGAAGCGGTGTTCCCCTTCCCTCTCCGGGCAGGTCCTAGAGCCGAGGTCTCAGAGGGCAGGCTTTTTTCTTCTGAATTCTCCTTGGACCAAAAAGTCTTAGTCGCAGGTTTACAACAGTAGGCGGACAACAGAGCACCAGACAAAATGCAGCATAAATCAGTATGACTGAAAAGAAAAGTTATAAGAAAATGAAACCTCCTGTAAGAAGACTTTTTATGCCTTGCGGGATCCAAGAGAATGAGCTGGAGAGCCAGTTTTCATTTCCTCGCCCACACTGAATGGCAAGGATTAGTAGATTATCTCTGCAGGTCAAATGGCTTGTTACAGATTTTCTTGGTGTTGGTTTCTACCTGGAAGGAGGTGTTAACTTCATATGCAACAAAAAGTATTGGCATTTGCACAAACCACTCCTTTTCTGCTAAACATTCAGAAAACTAAGATCATGGCATCCGGTCCCATCACTCCATGGCAAATAGATGGGGAAAAAATGGAAACAGCGAGAAACTTTATTTTTTTGGGCTCCAAAATCACTGCAGATGGTGACTGTAGCCATGAAATTAAAAGATGCTTGCTCCTTGGAAGAAAAGTTAGGACCAACCTAGACAGCTTATTAAAAAACAGAGACATTACTTTGCCAACAAAAGTCCATCTAGTCAAAGCTATGGTTTTTCCAGTAGTCATGTATGGATGTGATAGTTGGACTGTAAAGAAACCTGAGCACCGAAGAATTGATGCTTTTGAACTGTGGTGATGGAGAAGACTCTTGGGAGTCCCTTGGACTGCAAGGAGATCCAACCAATCAATGCTAAAGGAAGTCAGTCCTGATTATTCATTGGAAGGACTGATGCTAAAGCTGAAACTCCAGTACTTTGGGTACCTGATGCGAAGAACTGACTCATTGGAAAAGACCCTATGCTGGGAAAGATTGAGGGCAGGAGGAGAAGGGGACTACAGAGGATGAGATGGTTGGATGGCATCACCAACTTGGACATGAGTTTGAGTAAATCCGGGAGTTGGTGATGGACAGGGAGGCCTGTCATGCTGCAGTCCATGGGGTCGCAAAGAGTCAGACACGACTGAGTGAGTGAACTGAACTGAATCAACCCTTATCAGGTACAGTCTTGACCAGGGAATCTAGCCTCATTTAGGGTTTTGAGCTGCTTCTATGAGATGTAAAATCTCAGCCCCACGTTTCACAGGGAATCTTTTGCATTTTAAAAGTTCTCTTTCTAAAGTATGATAAAAGTTTCCTTTCTTTCCAGATAGCTGCATGGGCATGTAAAACAAGGAAGGCATATTTTGAGTTTGTACATATGTTTATAATTCTTCCTTCACAGTTTTTCTCCATTCCCCCAACTTATATAAAGGCCAGGCAGTGTTAGAGTACAGTTTAAGTTTTTCCCTTTTCAGCCCATCTGTTTTTTTAGATTTCCAGTTTTTAAGGATACAGTCCAGAGGTGTTTCTTCTGGCTTAGAAGAGGATCCTCCCATGTTGGGAAACCTTTGGCCGAGAGCGCTCCTAGAAATGAAGTCCCGGGTCCCAGAGGCATCTCACCAGGAGGCTTTTGTCAGAAGGGGCTTGAGGGTTCTCCGAATGCCCTTCTCACCTACTGGGGTTTTGACCGTCCTCTGCTCTCCCGTCGACACCTAGCCAGCCGTCTCTGGTCGTCAGTCCCTCGCGCGAGGGCTTCACCTTAGGAGCCCTCTGAACCTGTGCCAGCGTGCCGCCAGGGCTCTCCGGAGGGCGGTCTGCTGTCTCTGACGTGCACGTCTTATTATGTATGTAATAGTGTCCCTGATGTGGGGTGACCTGCTTGAGATTGTGCATCCGTAAAACCTAGGAAGTGGGCTGCTTGGAAGTGGCCAGCCCAGTAGGTAGTCACAGTGTCTGGACTGCCGGGGTCTGGAGGGAAGGAGATCCTGGAGGAACTGGAGCTGGGTGCAGTGGGAAATGTCACGGGGCCAGGACCTGAGGGCCTCGAACTGGGAGTGTTCCCACGGGGTTTCTGGACACAGAGTAAGGGGAGAGACTGGACAGCGGAAGCACCCCAAGCCTCCTCCCCATCTGTTTGGTGGTCGTGATAAAACTGGGGAGAGCCCGATGGTCCCATCTGAGACCAGTAACAGTGAGTTTGGACAGTGTTTCCCATGAAATTTAACACACCCAGTTAGCTTTGCATCTCCTTTGGGGACGTCAATTTCAAAGTTAGCTGGACGCCAAAAGAACTTTAGTTACAATTTGATATTTGGGAAGTCCACCCAAAATCTCACAATGTTTTAGATAGAATAGATAGAATCGTAGGTCGATAGAATCAAGGTCACTGTGAAACAATTATTTCTTGAGCTAAGGTGGAAAACAAAAAGATTTCAAAGGTCATTACAGATCACTTAAAGGCACAGAAGCTCACACAATCTGATGTCAAAAGTGGCATTCCAGGAAAACTTTGTTCTTTTATGAGAGACAGAAACCAAATCACGTCTTGCATCAGCCTACTCTGAATAAAACCCATTTACCCAATTAAATTGATTTCAACCTTGGAAAGTCCTGACCACAAACAAAACTCTGTTCTCCATGTTTCTCTTCTGTAGACCTGCAACTTTGATTAGCCATACTTTATCCCTTACTCTTTCCATTGAGAAATAACCAGCTTTAGGGCAGAATCACTCTTTTTCCTTTAACAAGACGTATTTCCACTCCTCATACACCCTTCGGAAAACACACACCCACCTTTCCTTAAGCCGCCATGAAGGGCCTTCTGCACTGGCATTCTGTAGGTTGGCAGAGGTCATCTCAAGGTAGCACCAAACAGCTTCTTTTCTCTCTGATAAGAAGACAAAAGTAGGTCAGTTTACACCTGTTTAGCCATCAATGTTCTCTTTGTTTCATCTTATTTGAAATGGTCCTTGAACCCAGTGAATTCCTTTCATTTTACTTTGTCTTAGTTTTTAAGTTACTAACATTAGGAGGGACTGCTTTAGATGGATTTTTTCAACACAAAGCCATTCCTCCAGAGTTTACCAAAAAACTCTAATCCCACTTACATTTACTTAAAAATTTAATCATGTCGGGTTGTTTCCCTGGTGACAAATTTTATAACAGGAACAGTATGCACTTCCTTTCAGTAACCCTAGGTACAATGAAAGTGTTATACTTAATGTGGGTACAGGTCTGTGTTCATTAAACCCACAAGTCTAAGCCAGCGCTAATACCAGGTATTAATTAAATATTGATTATTTTCCCAGATCACAGGAGGCCAAAATGTATTCTGATGAGCCTCTTCTATGTTTCTGAGAATATATAAGGGCTCAATTGCCTTTAAGCTAATTGAATATAGCCCATTTACAAGTTAATTTTTACATAAAGACAGAGCCAGAGGCCTCATAGTTTTCCCACTTGAATTTTAAAATGCCCTCCCTCACACTTTTTTCCTTCATTCTGAGGGACTACGGATGAATCCGATAGTTCTGAGCACACAGTCAGAACCGTTCCGTTGCAAAGGCAGAGGAGGGAGAAACGAAAGCTCCTTTCTTTTCTGTTCTTTAAAATCCCACCAAGTAACCCAAGGTTGGAGGCTCAAGCAGTGTTTGAGATATAGAATACAAGGGCTGCCTTTGTATTTCAAGGTTTAAGTCCTCCACTGTGCCCACAACATCAGTAGGGCAGCTGGACAGACAAAACGACATAAGACAAAGCTACCAATGACAAAACCTTGTAGACATGGGCAAGTATTCCAGATAAAAAAAGGATGGGAGTGCAGGTCTAAGGATCAAGGGAGAGGTAAAACAGTGGAGGGACAGAGAATGAGAACGGGAAAACAAAGGTGAGTCAACACCGGGACGATGGGTCTTCCAGCCCCTACCCGACATGAGGACTGAACCTCTGTCGCTCTTGTGAATCTCCAGGCAGGGATGGCCCACTGGGCCAGGGTCTGCACGGGTGAGGCTTGCCTCTCAGGCCTCTTGCTGCCCGCCAGTCGAGGTGCACCGTAGGCGGCCAAAGGTCTCGCCAGCCGAGAGCAGTGAGACTGTGGCTGCCCGACATCCACTCTGGAAAGGAGAAGACAGGAGGAGAGGACAGAGAGAAGTAGAGAAACAGCAGGAGAGGGGGAAGGATGAGGAGGCGGGGGCAGTGTTGCCTAGATGAGGGACCTGAGCCCCCGGGATCAGGAAGGCAGGGCTTCAGGTGGCCACTTGCTGCCCACTGGGAAGCTGCGTTCGAGGGTCCCAGAGGTGCCCAGATCCCCTCCGCAGAAGGGGACAAGCCACACGCTGGGGGCCATAAATCTGATAATGACCAGGGTTCTTGGCCTTGCTCATCCAATAGAAGTTGACTAGAGGCCCGACAAGAAATTCAGGCACGGCTTTACTGGGACCCTGCTGCAGCAGGTTGGGGGAGGGAGAACAGACAGCAGGTTCCCTTGCTCCCTCGCTCCTGACCTCGACGCACTGCACAAGAGTCACTGAGGTTGGAAGTCGCAGAAACAGGCCAGCCCCCGTGCCTTCTGTCTGGCAGAAGTCGCCCTGGCTGGCATCGATGCAGTTGCTTTTCTCGCATCCAGAATAGAACTCTCTGCCTTGGCTTCCCTCCAGTACCAGGACCGTGGGCTGCACCGACGGCCAGTCCACTTCTATGCTGAGAAAGTGTGTTGAATTTGGGGGGCGGCGGGGAGGAGCAGCCAGGCACTGGTGGTGGGAAGAGGTTAAGGAGGAAGGCTGGAAAGCTGGACGACCATCCTGCCACGTCCTCGGAGCAGGGCGGCTCACCACCACCCCCCACAAGATTCCGGCCGGTGAGGTAGTGGGACACGCATACTGACAGCCCAGCTTCCCATCCCCTGGGGTGCTTTTTAGAGCAAGAGTGGAACACGTTCCATGCAAACAAGGCCAGTCTGCAGGTGCTGTGCACACACGCACCACGTGTGTGAGAAGCACGGGGTGCATCTACACCTGCCCTGCACTTGGTTTCAGTCACTTCATATGAGGATGTAGGGCATGTCGAGTGTGGCCACCCCTCCTCACGGACTCTGTGGGGCAGGCAGGGGTGGCTGTCATCTGCAGCAGCCCGTGGCAACCGTAGCCAGTTCTGTTTAGTGGTCAGCAACCTCACAGCAGCCTTGGGAGCCGGACACACTCCAGCAAGGGCTTGCAGGAAACCCAGGCGCAGGGTCCCCATGTGACGGCCGGGGGTCCCCTCCTGCCCTGACCTGCGTTCTTCACTGAGTGCGCAGAACCTGGTGTCCACACTGGGAGCACTGGTCCCCTTCTGTCTTGGTCTGTGCCCCCACCCCAGCCTTCAGCCTCATGAGTGATGGCCCAGGGCGGAGGGGAAGGGTGCCTTCTTGACCGCTCGCTGCTCCCTCCTTCCCTGGCGGGTCTGTGGTTTGCTGGCCCTTTGGGGTTAGCCAGAACGCATGTCCTCTCTGACATCAGGAGCTTCCCCAGCCTCTGACTCCTCTGCCTAGGCCGTGTGCACTGGTAAAAGGGCCCGCGTTTTATGTCCCTGGGGAGCACCTGGCCCTGCCGCCTGCCTTTCCCATTTGAAGCTGGAAGGGGAAGAATATGGCAGGATGCAGAGGGAACAGTCCAGGGGGTCCTGGCTGAGTCCCCGGTGCCCCCAGCTCAGGGCGCCTGGGGGCAGCATCCTGCTGCTGAGCGTGACCTCAGCTCCTCCGGCCCTTGAGCACCTGTGCATCCGCCAGGACCTCGGGGCGGACTCTGACAGCGCCCCTGCCCCCCCAGGACTGCCCCAGGGTCTTCTCCGCTGGCCTGGACCTGACAGAGATGTGCGGGAGGAACCCGGCCCACTATGCTGAGTACTGGAAGGCCGTGCAGGAGCTGTGGCTGCGGACGTACCTGTCCAGCCTGGTGCTGGTTGCCGCCATCAACGTGCGTGTTCCTCCCTGGGGGCCGCCTGGGTTGCTCACTGTGGGCCAGCCCTTGGGGTGGGTGGACACAGCCCTCCCTTAGAAAGCCCTCAGAAAGGAAGGGGGCAGTCAGGGAGACCCACAGAGGTCAGCTTGCCTTCACAGACGAGGTGAGAAGAGAGGGCCACATGGTGGGGCTGAGTGTGGGGACGGGAGCCAGGGCCTGTGGTCACCTCTCGGGGACATTGCTCTGGCCTAAGGCAAGGGTGGGGCGGAGGCCAGGGGCCTGAGCCGGCTGGAGAGGAGGGGGGGCCGGGCTGGGCGGCCGGCCACCTCCATGGGGACAGTGGGTGCAGGAGGTGAGGACAGGGGTGGCCCCAGGCCGTCTGGGGCAGGACGTGAGGTGACAGCCCAGGCCCGATGGGCGATTGGCATCTGAGGGACCGGACAAGAGCCGAGAGAGAAGCTGCTTGCGGCCCGACATGAGCCTGAGGGAAGAGGGGTGTGCGGGTCCTGCTGCGCATGCTCCCCAGATGGGGTTGGTGCAGCACCAGGTGGGGGGGGCGGGGGGACCTGGGGTGTGCCTGGGCCCAGCCCTCTGGAACACTACAGGGACCAGCGGTCTGGCTCTCCCTGCAGGGAGCCTGCCCCGCGGGGGGCTGTGTCATTGCCCTCGCCTGTGACTGCCGGGTTCTGGCTGACAACCCCAAGTACCACATAGGGCTGAACGAGACCCTGCTGGGCATCATCGCCCCCTTCTGGTAAGGCTGGGGGCCAGGCCCACCGCCCCCACTCCCTGGCCTGGAGCCCCGAGCCCCAACTTCCAGTCGGGCGTCTGTTTCCAGGATCAAAGACGCCTATGTAAACACCATTGGGCACCGCACCGCGGAGAAGGCCCTGCAGCTGGGATTGCTCTTCCCGCCAGCAGAGGCTCTCCAGGTGGGCCTGGTGGACCAGGTGGCGCCAGAGGGCCAGGTACTGAGCACGGCACTCTCCGAGATGGCCCGGTGGCTGGCCATTCCAGGTGAGGGGTGGGCGGGGGTGGGGGAGCAGCTGTGGGTACCAGTGGGCCGGCAGGGCCCCTCCCCTCTCAGCCTGAGGCTCCTGATAAGACCAGGAGTTCTCAAGCCATACACAGATGAGCCGATCATAGTAGCAGACTGACCTCGTGTCCTGCGACTGGTGTCACAAGTGACAAGACGGGGAATTGAGGGGTGAGGGCGCTTAGGTGCTTAAAACAATGGAAATGCATTCTTGTACAGTCTGGAGGCCAGAGTAAAATCAGGGTGTGAGCAGGGCCTTACTCCCTGCAGAGGCCCTGGGGAGGTGCCTTCCTGCCTCTTTCATCTTCAGGGGCTCCAGATACTCCTGGGCTGTGGCTGCATCACTCCAGCCCCTGCCTGTGTCTTCACACACCTCCTCCACATGTTTCTATATCTCAGACCTCCCGTTCCTTCTAAGGACACCTGTCCCTGGATTCAGGCAGTGCTTATGGTGGTTTAGTCGCTAAGTCATGCCCGACTTAGCGTGCTCTTCTGTCCATGGGATTTCCCAGTCAAGAATACTGGAGTGGGTTGCCATTTTCTTCTCCGGGGGATCTTCCTAGGGATCCTACCTGGGTCTCCTGCATTGTGAGTGGATTCTTTACCAACTGAGCCAGCAGGGAAGCCCTCCCTGGATTTAGGGCCGGCCCTGAATCCAAGATGATCTCATCTTAGTTATCTCTGCAAAAACCTCTTTCTAAATCAGGCCACTTACACATACCTTTCCGGGGTCCACTATTCAACCCACTACACAGACAACTGGAAACAGCTTTCAGGTTCTACATCTGGCAATAGGAGTGCTTATGTCAACAACAGTAGAAATCAGGGGTCAGCAGACTGTAAAGGGCCAGGGAGATGTCCGGCTTTGCTGGTCACACGGTCACTGCCATAACCACAGCACCGGAGTGAGGGCAGCCTCAGGGTCTGTGAACTAGGAAGTGTATCTAGTGTTACTGGAACACCAAGCCACTGAATTCTGAATTTCAGGTGATTTTTACATGTCACAAAATACTAGCCTTTAAAATTTTTCTGCCACCATATATAAAAATGCAACCACCATTCTCAGCTCTTGAGCTGTGGGGGGCCAGGTTTGCTGATGCCCGAATACCGCACAGCCAGCCGTTAGTGACGTGGTAAAGGAATAGTTAGCGACATAGAAGATGTTCCCGACGATATAGCTGAGGGGAAATAACGAGCTGACAAGGCAGTTTTCACAGTATCGTCCTGTAAGTTTTTAAAAGCAGTCAGTGGACAGCAGGGGACGGGTTGTTTTCCTTTTCTTCCCTTTGCTCACTTGAGTTTTCTGCCGGAGTTTCGGCTGGAACTGTCTGGGGCAGCTTGGCAATACCGCTGTCCCAGCGCAGAGCCCAGGTCCTCACAGGCGGGCCCTGTCTTCTTCAGATCACGCACGCCAGCTGACCAAGAACATGATGCGAAAGGCCACAGCAGACCGCCTCCTGAGGCAGCGCGACGCCGACATCCAGAACTTCGTCAGCTTCATCTGCAGAGACTCCATCCAGAAGTCACTGCAGGTGTACTTGGAGAAGCTCCGACAGAGGAAAGGCTGAGGGCAGGGCTGCCCACCAGGGTTCTGGCCAAGCCCACCCTAACGGGCACCGTGGCTCTAGAGGACTTAAGTCCGGTCTTTTCCAATTTAAAATGACTTCCAGCTCTTTGTTTTACCCGTCTCCCTAGAAGGCCCTGATCCTCACAGCCATAGTCCCGAGGCCTGCTGCCACTCCCGAGTACCCTTTGTGCCTGGCGGGCGGGCAGGGGCACAGCTGGCAAGCAGTGTCTTGACTGGGGATAATAAACTGGCAGGTGGGCCCCTCCTGGACCCTGGCAACATCACCATTGAGCTCATGTGCTATTTTTTCCCAGAGCAGAATAAAGTCCTCAAGTTTCCCGTTCCTGGCTGGTGGGACGCTTGATTGCTAGAGGCATAAGGCCAGGTAGTTTATGGGTCCTGACGAGCCCCACAAGAGAAGGAAATGGGAAAAGACCTTGGGCCACCATGTTTGGATGGAAAACCTGTACAAATTTCAGAGAAACTGGGTAACTTGGAGAGGAAGAAGGGAGGCATTTTACATTGCAAGTGTCCTATATCTTATTTCAGAATGATCTAGCAAGAAAAAGTCCAGACTCTTTGAAACAAAGGTTTTACCCTTTAGTATAATTCAGGCCAATTAAATCTTGCCAAAGTTGAGATGCTTTGAAAACCAACCTCATCGGGTCCCTGTCAGTTACACTGTGTACCCCAGTTCTGCGTGTCCCCCACCCTTGGGATGGGCTTACCCCAGGCGCAGGCCACTGTCCTCCCTGGCAAGCCTTTGCCCAGCGCAGGGCTCCTGAGGAGGAAGCTACCAGGAAGGCACCTTTGAAGGGGCTGTACCACAGTTGTTGGGGTTCTCTGGGCAGAACCCTCACCCAGCCTGCCTGCTCACCAACGAGGGGCTCTCCACAAGTCCCAGGGCTGCCAACCAGCTTGGGGCAGGGGGACAACCTTCCTGACCTCCCCCCACCAACTGCAGTGCTGGGTGGGGCAGGACCCTCGTACCCACAAGTGCTGCTAGAGGCCTGCAGACCTGGGAACCGGGGCTGGAGGAGGATCACTGAGGATTGGGAGGGTGGCCTTGCACATCCACGCGGCGTGTGTGTAAGAGCACTTACCGCATGTGCACTCAGTTCAGGTGCTTGGAAGCACTTAGTTTACACAAAGAGCAAGAAGCTTCTGCCAGTGAGCACAGGCACTGTCTTCTGGAGCCAGCCCAGTCTGGACATGGTTGGTTCCCAGCAGAAAAGATGGTGTGGGCAGGCCAGGCTGTTCTTGTCCCCTAGGTGGGCTGGGACCAGGGATCTGCTGGTTGCAAGGATCAAGGTCTGTGTCCCAGAAGGGCTGAGCCCTAAGAAGGGACCTGGAGGAGTCAGAGCCCACATGTGTGTGGGGCCCTGGCTGAGTGTGTGCTGTTTATTGAGCTCAGCTGCGTGCCCAGCATGCTGGAAGGGGTTTCTCACAACCTTATGAGGTAGGTGGTGGCAGCCCATTTCACAGATGGGGAAACGGGCTCTGAGCGGTCCCATCACTTGTCCAGGCCCAGCTGCCCGTGCCCTGCAGCCTTGCTGGGGGTTGGCTGGCCACGCTGGAGGAGTCCTGTGGGGCTTGCTCCTGTGGCCAGAGTCTGCAGGCTCTGCCCCAGCCAGGGCCCGGGGCTGTCAGTGGGACTTGAGGGTCACCTCCACAGGAAAATGGTCACTGATGGCCAGGGCCTGGAGGGAGAAGGGGCCAGCCTGAGACCCTGCTGAGCAGCCACCCCGGGAAACTGCCCCCCACCCAGGGAGGGGCCCACTGGGGGGTCCAAACAAACCGCTGCACCTGGGGGGAGGCGTTGGCGTCTACGCCAGCTGTGGCCTGTGGGTGGGCTGGGAGCACAGTCTCAGGACCCCACTCCAGCGATGTAAAGAGCTTCCTGCACTGCCACCCCAGGTTTGTTCCATTCGGCCAGACCTGAACCTCTAAGGGCCTTTTCTAGAAATGCTAGAGAAAAGAGGGGAGTGCCTGGTTCCCTGAGGTTGGGATCTGGGTCCAGCACTTCCTTCGCCCCCGGCCCTACCTCGGCCTCAGCACTTGCCTGAGTCTGGTCCAGGCCGAATTCCTCCTGAAAGTCGTGCACAGTGGCTGACTGATGCTTCAGGCTCTTGCGCAGGCGGGAGCCACAGACCACGATGCGGTCGTAGGCGCAGTCCGAGTTGCCCACCGTGGTGTCAGCGCTGTCCGGGATGAGCCATTTGAAGACCTCGCTGCTGCGCAGGCGGATGGCCGGCCAGTCCTGTGCTCGCACGTATTTGCAGTCGGCATTGAAGTCGCCCAGAAACAGGATGTCCTGCGGGTCACGGCAGGGCCGAGACTGAGGCTCTGTGGCCGACCCAGGAGCACGCCTCCCGGGTGGGGTCGTGGGGGCGGGGCAGGGCCTTCCGGACAGGGGGCACTTACATCGGTGCCCCACTTGTCAATCACGTCCAGGTACACGTCGTAGAGCGCGTCGATCTCGGCCACAGCGTGGTGCGGCGCCGCGTGCAGCGGAATCAACACCAACTCCATGGCTGCTGCAAGAGGGGCTGGGTGTCAGGGGCCGGCGGCCGGGGGCGGGGCCGGCGGCGGGGGCGGGGCGGGGGGTCCTCACCACAGCCGGGTGCCGAGAACTTGACCACGAACGGCTCCCGGCTGAAGGCGTCCTCGGTGTCCGGGTACTGGTACGTGTCCACAACCGACACCGTATCCTTCCTGGAGGCAGGAGGTAAAGGACGGGTGGGCGCCGTGAGCGGGACCCCTGCTCCGCGCGCCCCGTGGCCCCTCCCCTCACCTGTAGATGAACAGGTACATTTCCTTATACTGGTCCCGACCCAGGGGCTCACTGCTCACGAAGCTGTACTCGTGCCTGGACACGCTGCGGAGATACGGGCCGGGCCTGGGGTCAAGGCATCGCTCCGAGACCTGGGGTCCGGGCCGGGGCTTCCCACGCTGGACCCTGCCAGCCGCACCTGTTGATCTGCTCCATAAGCGCAGACACGGCGCTCAGGTCGGGGTCTCGCACCTCCTGCACGAGCATGACGTCATAGCCAGCCAGGATCTGGGGGAGGAGCCAGCAAGTGCGGGGGTCAGGCGCGCCGCAGATCAGCCCGAGGAGCCCAGCCGCGACCCCGCCCCGGGCCCCCAGCCTCACTTGCGCGATGACGCCGCCGCAGCCCGGGTCTGACACTTTGCTGTCGCCGAAGCTCTGGATGTTGAAAGCTCCGATGCGCAGCGCCTGGGCTCCGGCAGCCCCCAGCGCCCAGAGCGCGGCCAATAAGGTCAGGGGCCCGCCCATGGCGCGGAGTGGACGATCGTAGAGGGACAGACACGGCCAGGCGTGAGCGCGGACCTGAAGTGGGTCACACCAGCCCATTCTTCATCTTGGCCGTGGGGACCCAGGGCCGGGTAGGTCCTGCCTCCCACAGTCTGCCCGCCGCAAGGCACCTCCGCCCCCTACTGCTTTCCAGGTCTCCCCAGGGTGCTGCTGGGCTCACAGCCTTGTTCATTCTCCTCCTCCACAGCGAAACTGAGGCCCAAATATTGAGAGTCCAGTCCCATCCAGCCCCCACTCAGCACTCCCACACTGAACGCACCTGAGGGGTGTGGATAGGCTCAGGATCTGCGTCCCAGTAGAGGTCTGAGGTCCAGACTGGGGGTGTGTCTGTGAGACAGACTGCAAGGGCTGGTGCAACAGCAGCGCTGGTGCCCTGGCTCCAGGGGTATTTGTAGCCCTGGCCCAGGGAGGCGCCAGACTGCGCTGCGTCCCGCCCCCTCCATGAAGCTTGTGGCTGTACTCCTGGCTCTCACCTCTCATCCTACAGAGGACCTCCCCCCACACACAGGGGTGGTGGGGACAGGGAGGCAGGACACCCACCCTGAAACTGATCTGGGGCCCCCATACCTATCAGAACAGGGGCTTAAGACGGCTCTGCCAGCCCAAAAGCTGCATCGAGACTGGAAGAGGGCCAGCCATGCCCACAGTCCAGGGCTTCTTCTTGTCCCCACCCCTGAGAAACTAGGTCACCCAGAATCTCCCTCAAGCTGCATCCCTGCAGGGAAACTAAGGCCACCCAATCAGGAAAGACCAGCCCTGTTTACAGCCCAGCATCTTCTGCTGCTTCTCCACGTCATCACTTCAAGGACAAAGCCGAGACTCCTGGCTCTCCCGGCCTCATTCCCCAGCCCCAGGATCGGAAGCTGGCAAGCAGTACCCCCACCCACCCACTTCGATGGGCCACAGGAAGTGGGGGTCACGGCTCCAGCTGAGCAGGGCAGAGGCAGGAGGCTGCCTGTCCACATGCCAATGACACCTACACATCACCAAGGTGCCGCCAGCCCCGTGGGAGCCCTGGGTGGACCGGCCAGGCACCAGAGCCTCGAGGGTGGCCTGGGCAGGCGGGGACTGCCCCAGAGGGGCACTGCCAGACACCAGTCCATAAGGCTGCTAATGCTGCAACATCACAAGCGGCGGATTTTCACATTTTATTGTAAAGCAACCAAAAACTATTTACACTCCCACGTCGCCTCTCAAAGTCTGAGTTCTAAGCCCCTCTTGCCTGTACTCAGCCAGGCAAGCACGGGCAGGGAACCCAAGGTCCTCGGCTCCTGCCCCAGACCGGCCCGCCAGCCCCTGCAGGTGCCCGTGCTTAGACAATGACCGTCTGCACCTCAAGCTGGCCCTCCGGGGAGGCAATAACCAGCTCGCCGGCATGCTCCAGGATCTCAATGTCCTCTGACGAAACCATGGTCACAGTGGCCTGCTCAGCGCCACTGGTGCCTGAGCGGGCAGTGAGCACAGTGCCCTCGCTGATGGCCGAGGCCAAAGTCATGGCCACCTGCTCCGTCAGGCTCTCAGGGGTGGCGATGGTGATGGTGTCGGCCGCGGCTGCCTCTGGGCCCAGCCGCGCCTCCTGGTCCATGGTCACATTCTGCACAATGATCTGGTGCCCAGTGCTGGCCTGGTGCACTATCTGCTGCACCACCTTCATGATGTGACTGTCCACCTGCGGGTGGCCCACGGCTCAGCCCGAGTCCGATGAGTGTGCCAGGCCGCCCCTCTGCCCATCCCCCAGCCCCTCACCTCTGTCTGGGTGCCCTCGATGATCTCCGTGGCTTCACTGGTCTCTGCATCATCTGCGGTGGCCTGGATGGGGGTCAGAGGTCAGCCCTGCCCACCCCAGCCCTCACCCCAGCCCGGCGGGCCCCCGCCCACCTCGATGATGTACTCCTGTGTGTCAGCTACCACGGACGAGAACTCGACCAACACGGTGTGCGGGTCCTCGGTCAGGACGGCAGCGGCTGCAGCGGGGCTCTCCTCAGATACCAGCAGCTCCTCCACCTCCAGCAGGCAGCCCCCTGTGGCGGGGAGCTCAGTCAGCGCTGGTTGTGGGCACCCCCGCCAACCCCACCTGCCAGCTCCCGGCCCTACCCTTGGTCCGCAGGTGGCGGTTGAGCGTGCCATGCTCGGCAAAACCACGGCCACACCTGTAGCATTTAAAGGGCTTCTCGCCCGTGTGGTGCCGCACGTGCCGCACCAGTGAGCCCTTCTCCCGGAAGCCGCGGCTGCAGAATGGGCACACGTGCGGCTTCTCCTCCAGGTGTGTCCGGAAGTGCACCTGCTGGGCATTCTGCGGAGACCGCCCCCCATCAGGGCTGGCCTGGCCTCGGCTCAGCCAGCCCCGAGGGCCCAGGCCAGAGCGAGGGGGCAGGGAACCAGGGACAGAGCGGGCTCAGGGAGTGGGCAGCCACAGGCAGGGGTCCAGGGCCCACCTTGGTCTTGTAGCGCTTGCCACACTCAGGACAGGGGTAGGGCCGCTCGTCCGAGTGGACACGCCGGTGGCCACGGACATGGGCGATGGTCTTGTAGAGCTTCCCGCAGTCCCCACAGCGGAAGCGGCGCTCATGAACATGGACCTCCTGGTGCTTCTTGAGCAGGTAGGCCTTAGGGAAGGCCTTGCCGCACTGCGGGCAGGTGAAGGGCCTCGGCCCTGCAGCCATGCTCCACGTCAGGCTGGGACAACCACCCGAGGGCCCCCACCCTAGCCAATGGCCACCCTGGCTGCCTGCCACCCACCCAGAGGCCCATCCTGGCTGCCCACAGCTGTCCAGGGCCAGCACCCCTGCCACCCACCTGCATGGCCTCTTTTGTGGGCCTCCAGGGTGGCCGCCGTTGGGAAGGTCTCACTGCACTGAGGGCATGGGTGGGTCCTGGGCACAGACGAGGCCTCGCCAGCCACCTGCTGGGGCACCAAAGCACCCCTCCAGCACCCACTGTGGCTGTACCCCATCAGCAGGGCCAGGGCCACACCGAGGCACCCCCACCCTGGGAGGCAGTAAGCAGGTCAGGGGATGAGTCACTGCACACGGTGAGGAGCTTCCCACCGCCAGGGACGGCCAGGCAGCCAGCAGCAGCTGGGTTAGTGTGTGACTTGACACCCCAGGTCCAGCCCCCCAGAAGGAGCCCACCGTGGGGCAGGGACCTACTGTCTCCACCTGCTCCACCTCCAGCAGCGGCAGTTCCGGGGCAGCATCTCCGGGCAGCTGGGGACTGGACACGGTGGGGGTGGCTGGCCCCAGGGTTCCCTCCTCCCCGGGGGCCCGCTCGAGCACGATGCCGGAGTTCTGCATGGCCTGGTGCAGAAGGTTCTCGCGGCTGCCCTCGCTGGAGCAGGGAAGCTCCTGGGGGCCAGGGAGCTGCAGGGGAGGCAGAGGGAGGGGGCTGGCCAGGCGGTCCAACATTCGACACCGCCTGCTAGCTCCACAGCAGGCTGCCCCCAGGCCCTGTGCATACCCCGTGCCTTCACTCAGGAAGACCCCCACACCTGCCCTTGCCCCCAGCCCACTTCCCCTCACCCCTCCCTGCTATGACCTTGGTCTCTCATCTCCCTTCCCCCGCAACCAGACTGAGCGCAGGAAGGCAGGCCCAGGTCAGTCCCATTCCCAGCAGAGCCGGCACCCAGAACAGGGCCCGGACTGAGCAGACAAGGGCCGCCCCTGACCTGCCCCTACCTCCGGGGCGAGGGCCTTCATGCCCAGGGGAAGCTCTTGCATCTGGACGTGGACTTCATGGATGACGGTGCCCTTGGCATCTGTCACCAGGTGAATCACCGGCGACGTCTCCATGGGCTCGCCTGCCACCGACGACGGGGTAACAGCCCCCACAGTGGAGGCGCTGGACCCTTTAAGGCAGAACCAAGAGAGCCCGTGAGGACACACGGAGGAGAGTAGTACCGAGAGCAACCAGGGCCGGCCGGGGAGCCCCCGGCTGACCTGCAGGCATGTCCTCTTTGCCAACGACCATGTCTTTGCTCATGCTGAAGCGGATTTTTTCTGTACACGGAGTGAGAGACTTCAGGTGCCGGGTTAGTGCCCCCGACTCCCGGAAGCTCTTCCCACACTTGGCACACTTATAGGGGCGCTCATCTGTGGAGAGAATGGTGTCAGCCCCGGCCTCACACCTCCAGGAGTCGGGGGCCACAAAGCCCAGGAGCCGAGCCCCGGAGTCAGCGGCAGCGCGCTGTGGCCGACTCACCTGTGTGCCTCCGGTGGTGCCGGATGAGCGAGCCTTTGGTGCGGAAGGAGGCCCCGCACAGTTTGCACTCGTGGTCTTTGCGGCTGCTGTGCGTGACCATGTGGGCCTTGAGGATGCTGCCCTGTGAGGGAGGGGCGGCGAGGCTCAGCACCGCCCAGCGAGGGAGGGGCTGGAGGCCCGGCTCCCCACCGGCGCCCCCAGGCCCGGGCCTCACCGTCTTGAAGGTCTTGTGGCAGAGCATGCACACGTAGCGGCCATCCTTGTTCACCAGCAGCTTGACCTGGGCCTGCTCACCCTCCGCAGAGAGCCCGGGCCCCCGCCGGCTGGGGCTGCCTGGGCCCTCAGCCACCATGCTGTCCCCCGGCTCCGCCTCTGAGGCCACAATGACCTCTTTGATGTGTCCGCCTCCTGAGGAAAGGGAGAGCGGCCTGAACCCTGGGATCCACTGGCCCTGCTGCACTCGGATGGAGCCCGAGGACCCTGCTGGGGTCAGGGGGGTCGTCTCGACCGACCCCAACCTGGCATGCGGCACCTGTTTGGCCAGAAGGGATGGTGGGAAGGGGTGCTCCGACTCCACGGGGCAGCCAAGAGGAGCTCCAGGCCTCCGGAAACAGTTAGCCAGGATGTGAACACAGACGCCCTGCCCCCAGCCAAGAGGCACGCAGGACAAGACTTGCACAGGCTTCCTGCCGTCCCCAAGGGCGGCCATGTGCCGGTGTAGAGGCAGTGGAGAGGCCAGCCTGCCACTCTGGCTCCTGCTAACGTGAAGAGGAAATGCCCCTGGGACTGCCCACCAGCATGGGTTTCGAGGCAGGCAGGCCAGGGACCTGCCTGGAGAGCGATCGCTCCAGATATGCCTGGGACAGTCAGGGCGAGGAAGCTGGGCTTTTGCAGCTCTCGTGGGTGTTGAAGAAATGTGACAATGTGCAAAACTAAGCTGTAAACACACTTCACTATTTCTGCTCATGAAGATGACGTGTGGAAAACGGCTATGAAGCCGCTTCTTAGAAACCATCTCACTCAGGCTAGCGTCGTGTTTTGACAAGCCATTCTTCCAAAACAGAATGGAAGCTCCGTGACTCAGAAACAATTAAGGCGTCTGTCGCTCCTGCGGGACTGACAGCCTCCCTCCACCCCAGATGCGCATTCCTAAAAGAACAGGGCCTTCCACCGGGCTCTGACCCGAGTCTGACTGTCACACAGCAGACGGAAGGGTTGGAGAGAGGGGATCATGGTTGCCCCAGGGCCAGAGATGAAAAGCAAGTTTGGTCTCAGGGAAGAGGCAGGGGGCCTGGAGTGGGTAACCTGTGTGGTCCCTGTGAATTGTGCACCGGCCCTGCGAGGGCTGAGAACCATCCTGGCATGATGCCAGCAGCTGGCGGCTCAGGACTCTGGCCTGGGCTCCAGATCACTGAGCCAGGGGGACATCCGGGCCACCCAGGACGTCTGCAGAAGGGAAACTCCCAGGGTGCAAGAGAGGCAGGGGGTGCCCAGAGAGGAGCCCCTGGAGCGTAGGGTGGGCTAGCTGGAGGCTGGGTGGCAGGCAGGGCCTCTAGGGTGCTAGAGCCTGGAGGTGCTACCTGAATCTAGGACATGCATTTCTCCACATGACACTCTCCCACCCAGAAACCAAATGCCACATCAGGGCTGGAGCGTAGCCCTGCCCAACACATCCACACTCCTGTCCTGGAGGAGCGGCGGGCAAGCGTCCTCGTCCACAGGAAGGTTGGGGGAAAGGCGGCGTGGAGACAGGGACAGGTCCCACGACCTCCCTGGGGAGAGGGAGGATGCCTGCTCTGAGGTCCCCATCCCCCAGGCCACCTCCACCCCTCTTCCTGCCCCAACTGGTCCCCAGGGCTTCCCAAGGCCAAGTTCTCCCTGTCACCCAAACCTTCCTGGCCAGCTACCAACTTGCATCCCTGCTGCAGCCCCTGCCCGTTCCCTTCCCCACCTCCAGTGGCATCAGGCCAACCCAGCCTCTCCGCTGCCAGGCTCACACCCAGCCACCGGGCCCCTCAGGCTGCCCTTTGAATGGCCCAGCAGCACGCTCCCTGTCCCCTGTAAAGGGGCATGTGACCCCATCCAGACCTCTCAACGCCCCCTCTCCTCCTGCACATCAATGAGGCACTCCAGCTTTAAAAAGCCATCAAAGAACCTGACTTGGCGTTGCACGCTCTTAAAAGCCAAAGCCGTGTGGGAATTAGGGTGGGAATTGCCAGAGGGACGGAGCGCTGGGGAGATGACGGCCAGGGTCAGGCAGCAGGTCGGGGCTGAGCCAGGGCGCCCACACGCACCCCGGTCGATCCTCCAGAGCCAACAGTGGGTGGGGAGTAGGAACCGGGGCCAGGGTGGGGGCTGGGAGAAAAGTGGGGAAGATTCGAGAAGGACCAGGGCAGAGAGTCTGGGGATACAGCAGGGGAGAGCAGCCAGCTTGTGGTCTGTGCACAAAGCGAAGATGCCCCGAGGCTCAGCGATCCCCCGGGCTGCCAGGCTCTGGCTCCCCCTTTCTGGGCTTGGTGGGGCCTGGTGCCCAGGGCTCACTCCTCCGGCAGGCCCTGCCCTGGGAAGGCACACACAGGGCCCCAGCCCCTCCTCGGCCAGGCCCTGCTCCCGGGACAGCAGACGGCCACGGGCAGCAGAGGTCCCAGCCCTGCCCACGGACGACTACCGGGTCAGTGCTGAGAAAGCCGTGCGTGCACAGCCACGGGGGGCCAGACCGACTTACCAACTATGTCAGGCGAGTGGCTGATGTCTCCCGCAAGCGCCGCCGCCTCCACCACGATGTGGGCCACAGTGATAGGCTCCTCTGAGCCTGCCGCTCCCGCTGCCACCTGCCATGGGGCGGGGGGATGGAGGAGACCCATCTTCAGGGCTCTAGGGCTCAGCTGTGGGTCCACCTGAGGGCTCGCATCTCCCCCGCAGAGCACTGCTCCCTGTCTGCTCCCAGCCTGAACCCCTCACCCTGGGCCCAGCAGTCAACCCCATCACTCCAATGCCTCCAGCCCCAAGGGCCCCACGCAAAGCCCTGAGCAGCCCAGGGAGGACTCCAGGATGAAGTGACCAGAAGCTCCAGCACAGCCTCTACAGAGAGGAAGTGAGGACCTCCACCCACTGGCCCAGCCAGGGGGTCGGGGAAAGGGCTCCCAGGGATGTGGGGCTGGGGGCCCTCCCGAAGAAGAGGACATCCCTGGGAGGGGCAGGAGAGACCACAGGGCAGAGCAAGATGACTCTGGGCCCCCCGGGGTGACCAGAGGCACTGACTTCTCTCGGAGTGTCCTCACCCACTTCCATAGGCTTAGGATGTCGAGAGTGCCAAGCCCACGAGGGTGCCATGGGTACACACGCTGTGCAACAAAGGTGGCCGTTTTCACGACAGAGCCACACTTCGTTTGTGGGATCCCCGGGAACCTCATGTATAGGCCAGGAGGGCAGACAGAGGACAAAAGCCATCGTGACGTCCCTGAGTCACGACGGGCCCTAAGGAAGGAGAGACCCCAGGCTCCAAAGCGCAGGCTCCACACAGAGGCTGCTGAGCAGGCCGGCATCCCAGTCCGACCAGGGGAGCCCAGAGCACCCCCCACCCATGATCGGATGCCATCCTCTGCCCGTCCCTGTGTCGGAAGGACCCAGCTGCACGGGTGTGTCCTGCCACGCCACCACCTCCTCATCCTGCTGTCAGATGAGGGGTGGGGACGTGTGTATGCACACCTGTGTGCAATGCAGGGGGGCTCACCTCCCGACCAAGCAGCGCGGCCGCCGGGGTGGCGGGCAGGGCCTCCTGAGGCACCCGTTGGCAGGCTTTCTGGAGCTTATGCTGAACGAAGTCCTCCAGGGCAGTGAACTCTGCCTGGCAGCGGCCACATCTGTGCACATCATCCTCATCTGCAAGGAGCCCACGGTCAGGGGGACTGGGGGGGGGGGCGGGGGGGCTCTGGTCCTAGGCACACCCAGCCAGGGGTGGCATCAGAACCAGGCGCCCACCCCAGGGAGAACTGCACACGGGAGGGGGCAGCCCTGACCATCCACTTGGGCACCAGGGTCCAAAGGTCCTACTTCAGAGAGGAGGGCAGAGAGGCCCAGGGAGCAGCTGGGAGGCAGGGGGATTCAGCCATGCTGGTTTGGGAACTGGGGAGGACCCGGGGTTCACATGTGCCCTTGGGCATCTCAGCAGCCATGTCTGGGTCTGTTTCGTCATCTGTAAAATGGGCCGACTTGGTGTGTGTACAGCTCCAGCTGAGAGGCCAGCACCCAGCAAACATGGGAGAGGTGAGGCACCAGGACCCATGCCCATTCTTTTCTCACTCTGACCTGACGCTTCACTGGTTCCAAGCAGGCAACACCTCCCTACCCTGGTAAAGACGCCTGGGGGGGCTTCCCAGAGGGGCTCCACACTCCAGGGCCAGGGGCCATTGCCCCCGAGCCCCTCACCATCTAGGCTGACCAGCCAGTCCCCGCCCCAGGTCCTGGAGGACCTCTGGCTCACTGAGTTCCTTACAATGTGCCAGGCACCTCCCTGGGGATATCACCCAATCTGACCAGCACCCTGAAGAAATGGAAATGACTATTCCCACTCCGGAAAAACAAGCTGAGATCAAGGCTACCCTGCTGGTGAGTGTTGGGGCCAGAACGTAAACCTGAGGGTCTACCCCAGACACCCTGCTGTTTGCACCAAGGGATGGGAGATGTTCCTTCTGTTTTTGTAAAGAGTCTGTCCATTCCCACCGCCTCATGTGCAATCCCACATCAAGGTCAAACCCAGGCTGGAGCACAGAAGGAGCCCAGCTGATGCCTACTGGATTAATGAACAAAGGGCCAAACCACAGCCGAGACTCGCCCACAGAAGGCCACCTGGCAAGGGTGGTCACCCCCGAGATGGCACACAGTCACTGGCCAAGCACTGAGGTGCCTCCACCCTCCTAATCCTCCCAGCCCACTCACCGAGTCTGACTCGGCACCAGCATGTTGCCATTAAAGAAATCCCCACCGCAAAGGGGAACACTCCCAGCCCTGTAACCCTGAGAGAAAGCCCTGGGCAAGTCCAGCAGGGCACAGCAACCTCCAAAGAGACCCCTGGGTGGGTGGTACTGCCCCTTCGCACGCGAATAAGAAGGAGCAAGGAAAGACATACTGAGAATACAAACCCTGTGGGAACAAAGACCACCGTCCCAGTATCACCAGCCCACCCCTGCCTGCCTGGCCCAGTCTAGAGTCTCCTGGGACAGGCTCAGAGGCCAGAGACCAGAGCTCTGGCTCCAAAAGTCATCAGCGCCCCCGTGAATGCAGCCCTCATAGGTCCCCAGAACTGCTCTCAGAGATGCACGTGCATGCTCTCCTTTGAGTCTCACCACCATCCTACCAGAAGACAGAGCCCCAGAATTTAAGGGAGTGTGTTGAGGGGTCACACAATCCTGGCATCCAAATAATACTTGGTATTAAATAACTGGGTGACCTGGTCATTTTCACATCTTTGAACCTCAAGTGTCCTCATCCACGAAATGGGAATAACAACAATAACAATAACAGCATCTAGGGCTGGCTTGAGAATGAAAAAGGCTGAGGCATGATGAGTGCTCCATACATTATCATCAACACCGGTGTCACCATTCTGTAAGCGGAAATGGAGACTCAGAGAGGTATGTGGTCACCTGCGCAGGATCAAACAGCTAGAACGTGGCAGGTCTGGGGCTGGGCGGCCTGCTGCTTTGCAGCACTGGGCTCTGCCACCTCCCTGTAGGTGCGGGAGAGACCCGAGGCCCCGCCCTCCCGGAGCCTCAGCCACACCCCGGCCAGGGCCCTGGTGGCCTGTCAGGTGAGGTGGGAGGGGGCGCAGCGGAGGGCAGGGCCCTGTCTAGACGCAGAGACAGAGCGGGGCCGGCAGGCGGTGGAGCCGATTGCCAAAGTCTCCACGGACAGCCCATGTAGCTCGGACACCAGTGAGTATCCGCGGTGGGCGCAGAAGCCCACGCCGGTGGTGATCGGCGCCCCGCAGGGTGAGGCCCGAGGGCCTGAGAAAACCAGAGGGCTCGTGGAAAGCTCTGAGGCGTCCCGCGGAGACCCACGAGGTCTGTAAGGAAGCTGGCCTGGGAGGATGTGTCGCGCCCGCAGCTCAGGCCGTCGGGGCCTCCACTAGCCAGGCTGAGCCGCCCCCACCCCGGCCGCGCCCAGCCCTGTGCGGCCCTGTTACCTTCCTCGCTGAAGGGCGCCGGGAGGCCGAGAAAGCCACCAGGAGCCAAGGCTGCCGCCGCCGCCGCGACCCCGCCCTCACCCGCTTCCCGCCCGGCTTCGGCCCGGGCTTCTGCCGTATGCGCGGCCGTCACCCGCACTGCCATCGCGCCCTCCATGTCGCAACGCGCCGCAGGAAGATGGCGGATTTACGACCGTGTCGTCATAACAACGGGCCGCGCCAAGGCGAGCGAGCGAGAAGACGAGAGGAGGACGACGGGGCGGGGCCAGGGCGGGTTTGACGGGCAGGCGGCGGGGCGCCGTGCGAGGGTGTGGCCTAGAGGCGCAGAGGCGGGACCGAGCTCTGAACCAGAACAGCCGGCGGAACTGCCGGGAGACGTGTGGTTACGGTGCAGAGGACTGACAGGCGGAGGGGTGGGGCCACGGCTGAGGATTGAAATGCTGGGGCTGCGGTCCGCTAGCGTCGTTTAGGCGCTAGAGCCTGAGACGGCCAGTTTTGCTGGCGGCACCTCCTGCTCGGCCCTGAGTGCTTTCAGCGGCCGGGATTCGAGCTCCAGAGGGCCGCTGCCGGGACACTGCCCCAGATCGGACCGGTAGAGTGGCGCTCGCTGCCCGCCTCCGACCCCCTCGGATGGCAGAGCCTCCCTTACTGGTTGACTCAGTCCAAGGACAAAACCCGAATTGGGGATGGCTTCACTAACTCTTTCATTCATTTGTATAGTTTTCAAGTTGTGATAAGTACACATAAAATTTACCGTTAGTGACAGTACCTTCACAATGTTGTGCAACTATCACCAACATGTAGTTCCAGAATGTTGTCTTTATTCCAAAAGAAAATCTGTACCCACTGGCAGTCACCCCTCATTGTCCCCTCCCTCAAACCTCAAAGAGCAAACCTCTTTCTCTGTGGATTTGCATTTTCTGGACATTTCGTGTAATTGGAATTTTACATATGGTAATCTTTTGCATCCGGTGTCCTTTACTTAGCATGATGTTTTTGAGGTTCATTCAGGTTGTAGCATGCAGCAGTACTTGTTTCTTTTGATGGGTGAATAATATTCCAATATATGAATAGACCAATTTTCATTTTGCCTATTTGGGTTGTTTCCACCTTTTCTATGATTGTAAATGGTGCTGCTATGAACATGAGCATACAAGTTTTAAAAATTCTTTTTAAGGTAGTATTTAAGTAGTTTTTTGAAGCTAAGTGTTTTACAGGATTTTCTCATTGAAGATACCAATCATCCCCATTTTGAAGATGAAGAAACTAAGGCGCAGAACTGATGGAACACTTGCCCAAGTGCTGGCCAGAAGTCTAACTGCTGGCTAGAGGTCTGTCCAGAGTCATGGGCTAGAAACTCAGAGGGTGTGTTCTCTCAGCTTAGTTATTCTCCGTGGCTCAGCTCAGTGCTGGATTCGAGACTCAGGTGAGTCAGACCCCATTCCCTCCAGGAATGCCAGTCTCTGGGGAAAACCAAGCACAGACCCAAGGGCCCGGGCAGAGAGTGGGCAGCTCTGCCCCAGGAAGGGCACCAGCAGAAACATCTCCATTCTGAGGCTGCCCAGCTCAGGAAGCGAGGACCCTTCTTCACCTGGCAGGAGCTAGGATGTGTGAGACACAGGTTAGATCCCCAGAGGTCAGGCCAAGGTAACAATGGGGCTGCTTTCTGCAAGGGGCTTGCTCACCATTGCAGGGGTTTAAGCAGAGGGAGTGACAGTGTTTCAGAAGGATCCTTCTGACTGCTGGGCAAGGAAGAAAGATGTCTCTGAGAGGGACAAACAGGAGGAGGAGCAGGTGGGTGCTTCTGCTGCAGGAGGCATCTGGGAAGCACCCGCACCCGGGAAGGACACCTCTCTTGAGGATGTTCTGGGGAGTGATGGGAAAGCCAGCAGCAGAGAGGTAGAGGGAGACCCCCAGAGGAATGAAATGGGGGCGGACTTCAAAGACAGAGCACAGCCTGGGTGTGGGTGGACATGAGGAGGAGCTGGCCCAGAGGAGACCGACAACCTGCCATGCTCCGTGCTCCAGAGCCTGTGCGACAGAGTTCTCAGCAACAGGCCAGGGCTCCTGCCTGGTTACTCCCAGGGGGTCAGAAAAGGGAAACCCGACCGGGTAAGCTCTGGGCCCCGCTTCAGCTTAAGCCTAGGCAGACAGCGGACACAGGAGTGGATGGGCCTGAAGTCCCTGGAAGGCAGAGTGGCCAGGGCAGGCCTTCTCCCTTCCCCAAAGTCTCCCTTCCCCTAGGTGGCCTCCTTTCCCAGCTTGCCCTCACATGGGCTCCAGCTGCACACTGTGTGTTTGATAGTCAACACCAGCCTCTCTATGGCCAGACCCTGACAAAAACTCCATCATCCTCCAAAGTGAAAGTGAAAGTGTTAGTTGTTAAGTTGGGTCTGACTCTTTGCAACCCCATGCACTGTAGCCCACCAGGCTCCTCTGTCCATGGAATTCTCCAGGCAAGGATACTGGAGTGGGTTGCCAGTATCCCCTGGAAGATCCAGGGGATCTTCCTGACCTAGGGATAGATCCTGCATCTCTTATATTGGCAGACAGATCTTTTGCTGAGAGCCACCAGGGAAACCCATCACCCTCCATGATGGCGGCTAATCTCCAGTCCTCTGATGTACTTATATTTACTCAACCAATCCCACGTTGAGAATTATTTAAGTTGCATTCTTTTTTTTTTCCTTTTTTTTTTTTTTTGCCACTTCAGTCCTTTTCTTTGTTTTAAAGAATTTTTGTTTGTTTTGGCTGCAGGTGCATCTTGTGGGATCTTTGCTCCCCAACCAGGGATTAAATCCACACCCTTGGCAAGGAAGTCTTGTAGTTCTAACCGCTGGACTGCCAGGGAATTCCCTTCAGTCCTTTTTCAATGCCCCCCCCCCCTTTTTTTTTTTGCTTAGCTCATTAGAAAGGAGAACATCTGTGAAAACACAGATTTAATGGCTGTTGGTAGTTTCAAATATAATTTAGATCATTTATTTATTTTTGGCTGTGCTGGGTCTTCATTTCTGCATGCAGACTTTCTCTAGTTGCAAAGAGCAGGGGTTACTCTCTAGCAGCAGTGTGCAAGCATCTCATTGCGGTGGCTTCTCTTGTTGTAGAGCACGGGCTCCAGGCTGCATGGGCTTCCATAGTTGCGGCTCTCGGGCTCTAGAGCATGGGCTCAGTAGTTGTGGCATGTGGGCTTAGTTGCCCCACAGCATGTGGAATCTTCCTGGACCAGGGATCAAACCTGTGTTTCCTGCATTGGCAGGTGGATTCCTAACTACTGGGCCACCAGGGAAGTTCCCTAATACAATTTAAATCCATGGAATGCCGTGAAGATTAGTGTATGTCCTTGAACCATCTAAGTCCATGCCTCACTCCACTTGTTGCCCAGCTTCCTCACTTGGGAGGACCCTGGCACTGTCCTGGGTCAGTATACCTGACCCTGGCAGGCATACACTGAGCACCTACTGTGTGTCAGGGACACAAAGTCATCATGCTGTGTACCTCTCCCATCCAGACACATCGCACCTCTTCCAGGGACAGTCCTCCCCAGTAAAGGGTGCCATCCCTTCCAACCTCCTTCAGGACCTTGTCCATAACCATCTGCTCTCTTGATACTGGCCATTCCACCTCTCCTGCCATGCCAACTCAGACCCTACAACCTACAGGGGATGTTAAATGAAACAGGTCAGCTTTGGGGTCCACTGAGTTTAATCCCAACTTTGCATTGTCCAGTTGGTGACTGTGGCTCACGTTCCTCATCTATAAATGGGCACATGAATCATCCCTGCCTCTGAGAGTTTTCCTGTGATTCTGACAAGGTAATGCAGTACTCAGTGCCTAGACGCTTACTGACTGCCAGTAAACCAAGGCAACCAAGCAAGTATTGTACTAGTCAGCCCTGGCTAGACAGAGCAATGTTTCCCACTCCTGCCAGTGAACCACATACACTGTCTCTGGGTGGTAAAGCGGGATTTGTGACCTTCTGTCAAATCAGTTCTTCCCATGGTCAGATCCACCAATGAAACTGAATGGGAAGACAGAGAAAGAAGGTGCTCCCCACCCCTGCCTGGCACACCCACTCCTAGCTAGTGGGTACACCCCACAGGAACCCTGTATACCATGCCCTTATGGCCCATGGTCCTGTCCTCCAGCGGTTCCCAGACCAGCCAAGACCAAACAACAGGCCATAGGGGAACAAGCAGGGCCTTAAGAGTACTGAGATTACTGGCTTTACCTCATGGGTTTGGGGGTGAGGTGGGTCCCAGAGTAGACTTTATGGAGACTTGGGACCCAAGAGAGGAGCAGAGGTTCGACACACTTGGAGTTGGAGGTCTGGATTGCCTGGTACAGTGTAAGTGCTTGGGAAGCTGAGACCTGCTAGTCTGCCCCCTGGCTCTAGCGAAAGTAATGAGGAGAAAACTACACCTACTGTATGAACTGGCAGTTCCACTTCTAAGTATCTACCCAAGAGAAATGAGGGCCTATGTCTGGAAATGAGCGTGTAGGAAGAACCTTCATAGAGGCATTACTTACAATGGCTCCAAACTGGAAGCCACCCAAATGTCCATCAAGTGAGGAACAGGAGAGTAAATTCTTACAATGACCCATGTGGCAATTAAAAAACAAACACAGAAGAATGGATTTCATTAATACTATGTTGATCCAAAAGAAGGAAGAACCAGGAGTACCCAGGCAAGCTCCTGCAAGGTAGTCCAGGACAGGCAAAGGAGGCTGTGACTCACTCTTAGGTGACAGAGTCAGAAAAGCAGCTGGAGGGGTGGTAACCTCTAGGGACGCATAGTGACTTGAGGGAACTTTCTGGAGTGATGGAAATACTCTATACCTTGATCTCGGCTGTGTTTACACAAGCCTGTTGTTCAGTCGCCCAGCTGTGTCCAACTCTAAAATCCTATCAGACTGCACACTTAAGATTTATGCACTTTATGTTTTGTGTGTGTCCGACTCTTTGCAACCCCATGGAGTGCAGCATGCAAGGTTTCCCTGTCCTTCACTGTGTCCTGGAATTTGCTCAAATTCACATCCATTGAGTCGGTGATGCCATCTAACCATCTCATCTTCTGTCGACCCCTTCTCATCCTGCCCTCAATCTTTCCCAGCACCAGAGTCTTTTCCAATGAATCAGCTCTTCTCATCAGGTGGCCAAAGTTTTGGAGCATCAGCTTGAGCAACAGTCCTTCCAATGAATATTCAGGATTGATCTACTGTATGTTTTACGCCTCCATAAAAGTTTGTAATACGTAATAATGAGAGCGACCAGTTACTGAGTGCTGTGTTCTAGGCACTAACGTCCTTCTCTTAGACCCTGATTCCACTGCCCTGTAATTACTCGTCCACGTGACCACCAAGCACAGGGAAAGCGATTCTGCAAAGGCCTGGAAACGAGAAAGCAAGTCTTGTTAAGAAGGAGCCCGGGCCTGCCTCTCAGGAAAGGCCATAATTGGCCAACGCGCAGACACTCCGTCCACGGAACCTCCCGGCGCCGTCCCGGCAAAGGTGCGAACGTTACTCTGGCCCAAAGGGGACAGCGGCCCCCGCCCGCCGCAATCCCGCGGATAGCCCCGCCCGCAAGATCCGAGACAAGCCAGCCAATCACAGCCGGCCCGACGCGAGGGTCACTCGATTAAAGGCCTCCGTCACCTAGGCTGACCAAGCGCCTCCAATGGGCGAGCTGTCCCGTAGCAGCCAATGAACAGCAGCCTTACGTCCTGCGCCGGCGCTCCGGCTCCTCGGCCGAATTTCCGCAGTGAGCGCTCCACGCAGAATGCCGGTTGGCTCTCCGCCAGCCAATCACCGCGGCGCCTAGGGCACTCCAGCCAATGGCCGCACGCCTTCCTGCGGCGGACCGCGACGGTTGGCCCGGCCCTTCCGCAGCCCGCGGGAGGCGGGGGCGGATTGGCGCAGGCGGGGCCCAATGGGCCGCACGCGCGAGGCGCGGGGCCTATGAGCGCGCCGGGGGCGGGGCGGGCCCGGCAGCAGGCGGCTGCGAGGAAGAGCGGGCGGCCGGTGGCGGCGTCGGCGGCGGCGTCGGCGTCGGCGGCCGGTGGCGGCGTCGGCGGCGGGTGGCCATGGCAGAGGCGGAGGCCGGCGGTGACGACGGCCGCTGCGTGCGGCTGAACGCCGAGCGGGCCCAGGCGCTGCTGGCCGACGTGGACACGCTGCTGTTCGACTGCGACGGCGTGCTGTGGCGCGGCGAGACGGCAGTGCCCGGCGCGCCCGAGACCCTGACGGCGCTGCGGGCCCGCGGCAAGCGCCTCGGCTTCATCACCAACAACAGCAGCAAGACCCGCGAGGCCTATGCCGAAAAGCTGCGGTGCCTGGGCTTCGGCGGCCCGGCGGGGCCCGACGCCGCCCGCGAGGTCTTTGGCACGGCCTACTGCACTGCGCTCTACCTGCGCCAGCGCCTGGCCGGCCCGCCGGCCCCCAAGGCCTACGTGCTGGGCAGCGTGGCCCTGGCCGCCGAGCTGGAGGCCGTGGGCATCTCCTGCGTGGGCGTGGGGCCCGAGCCGCTGCCGGGCGAAGGCCCCGGCTCCTGGCTGGACGCGCCCCTGGAGCCCGATGTGCGCGCCGTCGTGGTGGGCTTCGATCCGCACTTCAGCTACATGAAGCTCACCAAGGCCGTGCGCTACTTGCAACAGCCCGACTGCCTGCTTGTGGGCACCAATATGGACAACCGACTCCCCCTGGAGAACGGCCGTTTCATCGCGGGTCCGTGCGCCCCGGGTGGAGGGAGGCTGGAGGGCGGGCAGCGAGCCCCTCCCGGCCTCTGACCCCCGGCACGCCTCCCCTTCCTCTCCGCCCCCGCAGGTACCGGCTGTCTGGTCCGAGCCGTGGAGATGGCCGCCCAGCGCCAAGCCGACATCATAGGGAAGCCTAGCCGCTTCATCTTCGACTGCGTGTCCCAGGAGTACGGCATCCACCCAGAGCGCACCGTCATGGTGGGCGACCGTCTGGACACAGACATCCTCCTGGGCGTGACCTGTGGTCTGAAGACCATCCTGACCCTCACGGGCGTCTCCAGTCTACGGGACGTGAAAAGTAATCAGGAAAGTGACTGCATGGCTAAGAAGAAAATGGTCCCTGACTTCTATGTTGACAGCATAGCCGACCTTTTGCCTGCCCTTCAAGGTTAAAGATTTAGTGTCTTTAATCTCCAGAATAAAAAAAAAATTGAAAATCAGTTACCCAAATTAATAGGTGGGGCTTCAGCATCGCTCAGCTAGGTGGCTTCAAGTTTGCTTACTTGGAGTTAAGCAGAGGCACTAGTTGTTAATCTTGTAAGTAAACGTTTGGGGGGCGACTTTGTTTACAGATGCTTATATTTTAAGATGCACTTTTAAGCTTGGAGGGCATTGTGGGGATTGTGGGCCTTGCTGTTGGGTTTAGTGTATGTCCAGGATTCAGGTAACCTCAGGGCCTACTGGTGAGACTGAGGTGGGTCTAGGGGTGTCATGTATTTATTGAAAGTTTCAGGAATTAGTGGGGAGGAGGGGCTGATCATTTCCACTGTTGTGAGCAACTTGTGCAAACCAAGCCAGGGTCCCATCAGTGTGGTCCTCAGAGGAACCTGCTACCGCCTCAGGTCTTCACCTGCAGGGTGGGAGCGAAGGAAGGGGCTGCTCTCGGGTGGAGCCTCGCTGTCTCTGGGGTCTGGGGTGCTGCCCTCACCACCCCACACTTCCTTCAAAACCACTCCAATGTCACAACTGAGTGTCTGTTCCGTTTTAGAGACCAGGGCTGCCACCCTCATGCAGTTGTGCACTTCTGTAAACTCAGCCCAGCTGAGCCTCGTCCTTTCCAAACGTGCATGTAAACCCAGGCGGTCTGGACTGAGCCTGTTGCTTGGCAAGCAGCCAGGAGAGCATAAGTGCAGTCGTTGAACTCAGGGCTGCCGTTCAGGGAGCTCAGAGCAGCATTGGTACCAAAAGTTTTTGTTTTTTAGCTTTCTAACAACTTTGTCAGGTGGTGAACTTGAAGCATAAGCGTATGATTAATAGCTGTGCTCTGTCTTATAGGGAAAATCCCACTGAAGAAGTCTGCGTGCCCCGCAGCCAGCAGTTGGGCCAAAGGCATGTGCTGGCCAAATGCCTGTCACCCAAGGCTCCCTCTGGGTAGGGGAGGAAAGAGGTGTCTCCCAAAGCAGGAATCGAATCTCTTTCTGTCTTCCCAGACACTTGGTTGGGATAGGTGTCATATGCCAGTGGTCCGAGGCCACCTGTTTTAACCCTGGTGTCCCTTGTCAGTTGCCAGCTGGAGGACTGGCTGGGTCCACTGGCTAGCCAAGGATTCTTGGCAGGGGGCCGTGGCTTTTTCTGCCTGCTCCCTGAGTTGCTGACCTTTGAGGGTGGGCCTCTGGCTGCACTTGTAGGGGAGGGCCTGGGAAGCTGTTCCTTTTGGCTGACTGCTTCCTGGTGCCTCACCCCACACCTAGCGGCTTCTGCTCAGAGCCCACGATTCTCTCCTAGCCTCAAGATCACCGTGCTCCTTCACCCACTCTCTAAGAGTTCTCAGAGCAATAAAGTGTGTCCTGAGCCTTGGCTCCTCCCAGGCCTGAGCGTCTGGGGTTCAGACTCTTGCCAGGGGCAACGCGAGGGCAGCGGCGCCTGTGAGGTTGGTGGTGCTGACGTTGGCTCTGCGAGGTCAGCTCAAGGTGGGTCTGGATATTGAGCAGGCCTGTCAGGGCGTTGTCACCCACACCAGGAGCACGTGGCAGGTGCGGCAGCCGGCGACACCTCCCTCTTCGGCTGGGCAGTGGCCCAGGAGCCTGTGCATCCTGTCCCCCTACCCCTGTTGCACTGTGTGAACCCAAAGGTGTATTAAACTCTCGACCGCAGCTGACTCTGGTGTTCCTTGCTTTTGCCTGGACAGCAGCCTCTGCGTGGAGGGTGCAGCTGTCTCGCCACAGCTGGGGGGCAGGGAGCGGGAGGGGGTACCCTCAGGACAAGGCCATTCTGGGACTCCAATTTGATTTGGGACTCTGAGCATAGAAACTCCGCCCCATCTGAGGCCTACTGCAGAGGCAGGTTTTGAAGAATCAGGAAAAACAAGGCGCACAAACAATAACCAAGAAAAGAGGTCATGGGGTGAAGCTTGTGAAGGACACACACTTCCTGAAACCTGCCAGTGCTGGGAGCTACTGGGTGTTGAGATCCATAGCCCCAAACAGCTGGAAATGCACGACACAGGTCACTTAGAGACAGCCATGCTGGGCCAGGCAGGGGTCTGTGTGCACAAAGCTGGCCTCACCATCCTGCAGTATGCAGGCGGTCCTAGGAGGCTGCCCTCCAGCAGTGAACTTCCTAGAAGCTGCCCTGGTCTTGGGCATGCCCCTGCGGGCTGCCCTGCGTTGGTGGGGACTGGGAAGCAGCTGGGGTGCATGGGAGGAAAGGGAAGTGCACTTGGCCGATGCCTGCTGTACACCAGGCCCTGCGCCCAGAGCGTAGAGGTAACCTGAGAGACGGAACAGGCGTCCACAGGAAAATGAAATCAGCCCCCAACCAGACTTTGTGTTATAAGGTCCTGGACAACCTGGGCTGCCCTCTACACCAGCCACTGGGTCTCCACTTCCACAACGGCTCCTGCGCTCCCAGCTCCCAGGCTCTGGTCTGCGCAGACCAGGCATCAGGAGAGCTGGGCAGCGATGAGCAGCCCCTCCAGGCGTCCCGTCTCTGACCCGGATATCAGGTGGCTGGGCTGGGGAGGAAGCAGGGGGGTCAGGCGGGGAGGGGGCCAGAAGGACTGGCTCATCGGAGGTGTCCTGAGGTTTCCCAGCTGACTCTGGAGCAGCAGACAATCTTGCATTGTCCCCTGGCTGCAGCATGGAGCAGGGGAGCCGCTGGGCTGAGAGCCCCACGCCTGTGAGGGTGAGCGCGCCCCCCACCCACGCCCTCTTGGGCACAGAGGCCCAGGGCTGCCCAGCAGGGCAGGAAGACCATCTGTCTCCTGAAATCCCTCAGCCTCTGCCTCCCCTGAGCCCGCAGCTGCCGGCCTCCACTCCTGGCCCCACTGACTCGTGTGCCTCCAGGTGGAGACCAAGCCCTGCCGTGGGCGCTGGAGAGCTCCCAGCCTGCTGCTGCTGCTGGCGCTGGCCACCACCGCTGCTGTGGCTGGAGGGCTCCTTGGTTTCAGCCACAGTCCTTCCCAGGTGAGCCCCTTCTCAGGACCCAGGCAGAGGCTCAGACAGTCGGGAGGGGGAGGAGAGACCAGCCCTCCAGTGGGGCCAGGACAGGGAACAGACATCAGAAACCGGGAAGGGTGGTGGGTTAGAGCCCCACAGCAGGGCTGGGGGCGTGTTGGGGCAGCCCCAGCCTGGCCAGCAACCTCCGGCCTCCCACTCAGCCCCCGCTGCAGACGCTCCGCCTGAGCCTCCCCAGCCCGGGCATGCCCCGGTCCAACCAAACCGAGCAGGTGGACGTGGCCCAGAACGTGGCAACCATCCGGGTGACTCCAGCCCAGAGCAACCACAGCTGGGCAGTGCTATTTGATGGGCAGAGCGTGAGTGGCCGGGCAGGGCGGGGCGGGGTGGGGGGTTCAGGTGGCCCTGCCTCACCCACCTGCCTGCCCAGGGCTACGTCTGTTACCGGCCCTCGGAACACCGGGCCTGCTTCCTGCGCCTGATGGAACCCCGAGACCGTGAGGCTCTGCAGCTGATGGTGAACACCTCTCAGGTGAGGAGCCTCCGGCCAGGGGCCAGACAAAGGGTCCTGTGTGCAGCCTGGGCCCGGGGTGGGCTGGGGCTCCAGTTTCAGGGGAACAGAAGCTCTGTCTTCCTGTGGATGAGGCTGCTGACAAGAGCTGGGGCAGGGCTGGCACGCCGCCGGCATGTCCCAGCGTGCATGGGCCCCACCCAGCTGGGGTCAGCGCGAACGACCTTCTCCGCAGCTCCAGGCAACGCGAAGCCCCAGCCAGGACACCCACTACGCCCAGGAGCTGCTGGCAGTGCTTGGGAGCCAAGAGGTGGACCCTGCCCAGGTCGGGGCTCCCGTGCGGCACCTTTGTGCCAAGACCCCCATTTACTGGGCCCGACGCGCAGAGGGTAAGTTGGGCAGGCTGTGCGGAGGGGCCTGGGCTCCCGCAGGACAGTCTGGGGGCAGATGGGGAAGGGTCCTGTGGGGTTCACAGAGACCCCTCCTCCAGGGTCCCAGAGGCAGCGGCTGATCTACCTATGTATCGACATCTGCTTCCCGAACAACATCTGTGTGTCCGTCTGCTTTTATTACCTCCCAGACTGAGCCCCAGCCTGGCCACACAGGCCAGCCACTTGGCCGACCCTGTCACCACTCCATGGAGGGTGGACAGGGATAATAAACCACTCCACCTGGCCGTGACAGTATTCTCTGTGGCCTTGGGGACGCAAAACAGGGCCAGGGAGGGGCCGAGGGAGGCCCCGGCTGGGGGTGAGCACCAGCCTCGGACTCTCTTGGCGGCTCCAGGCCCTGTGGGTCCAGAGTTTCTGAAGGAAAGAGCCCTGCTGCGTCCACATAAGCAGCCAGGGCTGAGAAAGTCCCAGAGTGGACCAGCCTGGCTGGGGGGCCAGGGTTGCTCAGTCCAGTCTGGCGAGCCTCGGATGAAGTGGCCAGCCCATGGGTGTCACTCTGACCTGGGCAGCTGGACAGACACACCCGGCTGGTGCCACCTGGACGGCTGCCTGAAGTGCCCAGGGACAAAGCTAGCCCAGCACGCTGTCATTGAAGGCCAAGCACACGACGGCTTTCTGGTGGCCGCCGTACTCTCTCTTGATCTCGCCTGTCTCCACGCACCAGAGCCGGGCCAGATTGTCAGAGGAAGCTGCAGGGAGGGAGGGAGAGCACGGATGGGGTTCGGGGAGCAGCCCCAGGCTTGGCAAGCAGGGCAGGGGGCAGGGCGGCGGGGCCCACCGGTGACGATGTACTGCGAGTCCCCCGAGAAGGCACAGCCCCACATCCAGCCCCGGGACGACTCTCCGGGGTTGCTGCTCTTGATGCTCAGCTCCGTCATCAGGGAGAAGTTGGACGTCCTCCAGATCTTGCACGTCTGGTCAGCCGAACAGGTGGCGAGGAGCCTGGGCGCGGGGGTGAGTGCAGGAGGCATGCCATCAACAGCCGCTCCCATCCCGCACACCCATGCTGCCCTCCAAGCAGACCTCAACGCATCAGGCTCCCAACCCCAGGCACACCGCCTCCTGCCCCCCGGCCCTGCACACACGTGGAGTCGGGGCTGAAGCGGCACTGCAGGGCATAGCGGGTGTGCGCCGGGATCTTGGTCTTGGGGATGAGCTGTGTCACCTCGTCACCAATGCCTCCAGTTAGGTTCCAGACATAGCAGTTCCCCTGCAGGGGAGGAGGGCAGTCACGGGAGGCCGGGGCCTCCAGTCTGACAGGCGGGGGAGGATACCTAGCGGCAAGACCTAGATCCAGGGGCTGCCATCCAGCACTGCAGCTGTGTACAAGGACCTGGGGGCCAGGGAGCACCTGGGAGACCCAGCCCCAAGCAGGGGCCACACCTGATGGGCTGAGGGCAGGAAGCCATGCCTGGCCTTCCTGAAGGATGCGCTTGGCCAACTGGAATGTGCAGAACAAGATGGGACGAGGACACCTAGATACAGGAAACTGCAGGGCGAAGGCTTGGGAGTGGACAGTTTGGGAATGTTGAGGGATAACTGATTCGCTGAGATCAAATGGACGTTAAAGGGAGAAAGGAGACTGGATGGGAGTCCAGGGGTCAAATGGCAGGGTCCTGAGGCCCTGGGAAGGAGCCCGGGGCATCTGTGTTAACCTAGAGGAAGGAGGCAGTCTGGGTGCTCCTGCTGAAGGATGCTCTGCCATTGGGACAGGGAGATGTCACAGGGGAAGAAGTCAGAGAGGCTGCAGCCACTGTCGGGAGAGACGAGGGAAACTGGGACCAGGAGGAGAGAGGGAAGTGGACAACTGGAAAGATTCTGGAGGTGGAGAGGCCCGGACTGCTGTGTGGGCCACGGCCGGCAGCAAGAGGCTGCATCAGGCGTGGCCCCCAAGGTTCTGGCTCTGGGGGCTGAGTCAGAGCTAGAGCCCAGAATGGGGACGCAGGACTCGGGGGGAGAGGCCACCTGCAGGGAACAGGGTTCTAAAGAGCTGGGCCCCGAGCTGCACCCCCTCCCCGGGACTCACAGTGCTATTGACAGCAGCCATATAGCTGGCGTCGGGGTCGATGTGGGCGGATGTGATGGAGACCTCCGGCTCCGGGATCAGCTGCTCATTGTGGTCGGTTTTCAAGTCCCAGATGTGGATGGCGCCGCTCTGGTCACCCACGATGAGCTCCGCCTGAGGAGGCACCAGGGAGGTGAGGCCAGGTAGCACCCTGCCCTCCAGAGTCCCAGGGTGCCCAGCCCCGGGCGGCCCCCTCACCTGGTTGGGGTGCAGGCACACACAGTTAATGGGCGCGTTCACCTGGAAGATTCGCTGACACTGCAGGTTCCGGGACCTTTGAGATGGGGGGACACACCCCGTCTGTGGTGCGTGGCCTTGGCACCCCCTCCTCCCTGAGAGACCCTTTTCCTGGCCACTTAACCTCTGTCTGTGATGGGAGCTGTCTCACGGGAAAGACTTGGGGGGCTCGGACCTCCCCAGGGCAGCCTGAAGTCAATGAGTGACTCAGAAAGGGCCTAAAGCATGGGCCCTTGGTCAAGGTGGGACTTGCTCTTTGGTGCAGCTCATTCTAGAGCCCCCTGTGGGATCAGGCTGAGAATCTTCCCTGGGAGGTCTTTGTGGGTCTGCCTCCCTGCCCTACCTGCTTTCTTTTTTTTTTTTCCTACCTGCTTTCTTCATCTGCCTTCAAGAAGTCACCTGCATGGACAGTCTCCTGGCCTGGCCCTCACCCTACCCACCCAGGCAGCAAGCGGCTCCCGCCTGGTGCCCCACACCTGAGGTCCCAGATCCGGGCGGTGCAGTCCTCCCCGCCCGTGTACATCCAGCGGCCGTCCTCATGGAAGCCCACCGACGCGATGTTCTTGTTGACCCCGTCGTAGCTGATGATGGGGTTGGGGTTATTGGAGTTGAGGTCATACATGCGAATGTGCTGGTAACCTAGGAGCAGAGGCCAAACCGAAGTGAGGCTGTGCCCACGGACCTAGGAGAAATCAGGGGTTGGGGTGGAGAGCAGGGTACCTGCAGCTGCAATCATGGTGCGGTCGGGTGTGATCTCCAGCGCGTTCACCTGCTGGGTCTGTTAAGGAGGGTGACCAACAGGAGCCTCCGAGGCTTCCACCGCAGCGGGTTCAGTGCCGTGTCCTTCCCACCGGGCATCCCGTCCAGCACCACCCGCCCCATCGCCCCATCGCCCCAGCGGAGGATACCGAGTCCTGGTGTTGCACAGTTCGCGTACAGATCCCGCTGTGGGCCTGCCAGAACCGCACCGTGTGGTCATAGCCTGCAGTGGCCAAGATGACGGGGTCACTGCCCACTGTGCCTGGAGACGTATTCATGGTGTGGCTGCCGAAAGGACTCGGATCGACACAGGGCACTAGGTCTGACCCGCAGGGGCCAGAGATCAGAGCATCTAGAGCAGAGACAGAGAGTGAAGTATTTAGGGAATCCCCTACGTCCTAAATACGTTACAGCAGATTACTCAGTGCTGGGGAATAATGAAATCATCCCCATTTTAGACACGGGGAAAACCGAGGCGCGGAGAGGTTCGGGGAGACGCGTGACAACCGGCAAGAGACAGCTCGGCGCTCCGAGCCGCGGGCTCCGTCCCCCGCCCGGAGACCCGCCGCCGGAACGCCCTCCCACCGGCGGCCGGCAGGGGGCAGTCGCGCCGCGGACGCCGCGGTGCCGCAGGGGCGGGTCGCGCATGCGCAGGGCTGGGCACCGGCCCGTGAGCGAAGCCTGAGTGCGGCGGCCGCGCGTGCGTAGTGGGCCGGCGGCGGGCCTTGTGGGGCGGCGTGGGGGAGCTCCCTGGCTGGACCCTCGAGCTCCCCGGCGCTCCGCCGACCGCCCTGATTCTGTCCCACGGAGCCAGCGCCCCCGGGCGCGCTCTTTCGGCCCCTGGACGTCGCCTTCCAGCCCTCGTCCCGCGGCCCCCGTACCTTTGAGGCGGCTCTGCGCTCCGCCGCGGCCCAGGAATGCTAGTGGAGCCGGAGCAGGTCGATAGAGGCCGAGCGTCGAGTTATCGATGAGCTAGTAGGGCGACACCAAGGGGCGCGAGGGACGGGGGTGGCGGGGACGAGACTGAAGCTCTGGGATAGAGGGCCCCTACCTCCTGGGAAGAAGCGGTACAGGCCCCGGGACGAAAGCAGCGACCCCAGCCTTTTACCCTCTCGGGGACCCCACCCTCCCGAGAGCGGTTCCCTAGGCCGGGTGGTACCATCCACCCCCCCCCCCATCCGTCTGGTGCCCACTAGGATTCCCAGGTAAATTACAGGACATCAAGTTGCAGTTGATTTCAGATAAGCAACGTGTTTTGTTAAGTACAGCCTAAATATTGCGTGGGATATACTTATACTAAAAAGTTTTACGTTGCCTACGTGAAATTCAAGTGTAGTTAGGTGTCCTGTAGTTTTCTTTGCTACATCAGGCAACCCCTAGTCTGGGCCCTGTCAGGATCCTCAGGTCCCTTCACTAATCCCAGTGACTCCTCCATTACTGGGGTCCCTCGTACCCCCTCTTTCATCCAGACTTCCCACATTCTACACACGTGGCCTCAGAAAAAAAAAAAAAAAGAATCCTTGAGACAGCATCTCCCAGGGCATCTTCCCACCAGGCTTATAAATTGCAGCTGTACCCCTTTTCCTTCCTCTAGCCCCTTGACCAAGGCCATGTCCCCTGCCTATCCACCCAGGCCCTCGTCCTGGCAACCTTCCTCCCTGAATCTTCCCTCTGTCCTTCCTGTCAGCATTTCTTTTTCTTTTGTTTCTTTGTTTAATTTTTTGTCTGCACACCATGTGGCATGCGGGATCTTAGTTCCCCGACCAGGGATTGAACCTGTGTCCCTTGCAGTGGAAGCACGAAGCCTGAACCCCTGGACTGCCAGGGAGGTCCCTCCCTAAGCATTTCCACACCATCCTTCCAGATGGCACCCTTTCAGAGATCCAGCCTCACTTCTCACTAGCAGCTTGACTTGCTGTCAGCTGTCATGTTTTACTCCCAGCTCTCCAGTGAGAGTTTCACAAGGTCACTGGCCATCTCACACTGCCAAACGCAGTGCATACTTTTCTCGTGCATCTTGCCACGTCTGTCTACACAGTGGCTGACAGCACTCCCCCTAGAAAGCTCCTGTGACTGTTGCTAGCTTCTTGCCCCCCGCGTTCAGTCTCTTTCTCTGCCTTCCCCTAAAGGCTGGTGGCCTCCAGAGATCCTGTGTCCACCCTGTCCCTGGGGCTCCTGCTCACTCTCCAGGGCTTTCAGTACCTTCCTTGTCTGGGTCCTTCCTTCCCTGTCTCCAGCTCACAGCCAGCTCCCTGTTTGACATTGTCCATCAAAGGCCCCAGACACCTCCACTTCCCACAGCCAAGACAGTTCATGATGGACCTGCCCCCAAAGGCTTTCTCTTCTGTGTGTGGTGCCCACCCATGTGTGACAGCCAGACGGGATCCCGTGGACCACCACCCCCTCTCAGGAGCAGCCCCCTCATCACCACCCTTCTCCTGCCCCCTCCAGGCTGTCCTTCACATTACAGAGTGGTCCTCTGAATATGCCTGAGGACTTCCCTGGAGATCCGGTGGTTAAGAATCTACCATCTAATGCAGAGGCTGCTGCTGCTGCTAAGTCGCTTCAGTTGTGTCCGACTCTGTGTGACCCCATAGATGGCAGCCTGCCAGGCTCTGCCGTCCCTGGGATTCTCCAGGCAAGAACACTGGGGTGGGTTGTCATTTCCTTCTCCAATGCATGAAAGTGAAGTTGCTCAGTCCTGTCCAGCTCTTTGTGACCCCATGGACTGCAGCCTACCAGGCTTCTCCGTCCATGAGATTTTCCAGGCAAGAGTACTGGAGTGGGTTGCCATTGCCTTCTCCCTAATACAGGGGACATGAGTTCAATCCCTGGTCAGGGAGCCAAGATCCCACGTGCCGCAGGGCAACTAAGCCCACGCATTGTAGCTACTAAGCTTACAGCTAGTGAGCTTGCATGCCACAACTGACGCAGCCAAACATAAATATTTTTTAATTGAAAAAAAAATCCTAAGCCTGAACCTTGTAAGAATCCTGCAAGTGTCCCCCATCACCCTTCGGACTCCTGGGCCCAGCCCCTGCCAAGCCTGCAGCTTTCTCCTCTCCACTACACAAGCCACGAATGAACAGCAGTCTCAGAATTCACTGCACCCTCTTTGAACCCTTGCCCACACCTAGGATGTGTCATCTCTGCCTCTTTACCTGCTGAACTCCTGATTTTTTTAGCACCTTTCATAGCTTTGTGAACTTATTCTGTATGAAGGGGCTATATCAAATGTTTTGTTTGAATTGAGGTGAAATTCACATTACATGAACGTTGCCATTTTTAAGTGAACAATTCAGTGGCACTTAATGTTGTGCAACCACCACTTCTGTCTAGTTCCAGAACATTCCCATCATTCCAAAAGAACCCCACCTCCCCCACCACCCGTTAGGCACTCACTCCCCATCCCCCACCCCACCTCCCCTCAGCCCCTGGCAGCCAGTGATCCACTTCCTGACTCCATGGATTTACCTCTTCTGGACATTTCATAGAAGTGAACTCATACAATATATGGCCTTTTGTGTTTGGTTTCTTTCACTAGGCATAACATTTTCTAGGTTCATCCAGGTTGTAGCCTGCATCAGTGAAAGTGAAAGTCACTCAGTTGTGACCAGACTCTTTGCAACCCCATGGACTATACCGTCCATGGAATTCTCCAGGCCAGAATACTGGAATGGGTAGCCTTTCCCTTCTCCAGGGGATCTTCCCAACCCAGGGATTGAACCCAGGTCTCCCACATTGTAGGTGGTTCTTTAGCAGCTGAGTCACAAGCGAAGCCTGTGTTAGTACTTCATTCCTTTTTATGGCTAAACAATAATATTTCATTGTATGGATGGACCATATTTCATTTATCCGTTTTTCCATTCATTGATGGACACTCGATGAGATGGTTTCCACTTTTTAGCTAGTACAAATAATGCTTGCAATGAACTTTTCTGTACAAGTACTTCTGAGTCCTTGTTTTGATTTTTCTTGAGTATATAGTAGCAGTGGGGCTGCTGCATCTTGTGGTAATTCCACGTTTCAGTTCTTGAGGAACCGCCAAACTGTGCTGAGCCTTTTACCCACATTTTGCATTGGGTCTTCGCAATAACCCTGCCAAGGAGGTGAGAAAACTGAGGCTTGGGGCTTCCCTGGTAGCTCAGTGGTAATCCGTCTGCCAACGCAGGAGACATGAGTTCCATCCCGATCCTGGAAGATCCCACATGCCATGGAGCAACTAAACTATTGAGCCCACGTGCCCTAGAGCCCATGCTCTTCAACAAAAGAAGCCACCGCAATGAGAAGCCCGGCCCTGTAACTAGAGAGCAGCCCCTGCTTGCTGCAACTAGAGGAAGCCTGCAGGGCGATGAAGACCCAACACAGCCAAAAATAAATAAAATTAAATTTAACCCCCCCAAGGCTCACATCCCAGGGCACGTGGTTAGAACATGGCAGAACCCACCCCACTGGGCTCAGCTACGCCCTGACCTCACCCCTTCTGGCTGGGCGACTGCCTGCGGGCACCCCCACCCCCCAGACATGCTCATCTTCCTCTTGAAGTCCAGGCGCTTCCCAGGGCAGCTCCGGGGAGTGGCAGATGGATATGCGGGCTTGGGAGCACCTGAAGGATGTCCAGGGCAGCATAAAGCCTGAGAGTGTGGGACAGAGGCGGGGCCAGGGGAGGGCCGGGGGACACAGCCAGGTGTCCTGGGCCTGTGGCCGGGGCGGGGCGTGCCCTGAGCAGTCTGCATTTTTGTGAGGACTCGGTGGGGGATTTCCCAGGTGAAGACATAAGAGACGCGGGTTCAATCCCTGGGTCAGGAAGATCCCCTGGAGGAGGGCATGGAAACCCACTCCAGCCTTCTTGCCTGGAGAATCCCACAGACAGAGGAGCCTGGTCGGCTACAGTCCACGGGGTCGCACTGAGTTGGACACAACTGAAGTGACTTGGCACTGGGGGGAGGGCTGCATATGTCCCGTGCCTAGGGGTAACTGAGAGACCAGGCCAGGCTCCCTGTCCAGCCTGAGTAGCTCCAGCATCCCTGCTGGGCAGAAAGGGGAGACCTGACCCATGGTTGCGGATCCCTTCCATGCACTAAGCATCAGTTGAGCACTTACAGAGGTGGCATCTTTGAGAATGATAGAAACCATGGCAGCTTTCAGACTTCATGCTCCCAGCATGCTCCACCAGGAGGGGACGTTCATCATCACCATTTTTTACATAAGGGGCTGGACCCCAGGGCCCTGGGGGTCTGGGGGGGGCACCAGGGAGCCCCTGGCAGGGCACATAGCT